GGGCAGACACATCAATGGGTTCTCTGTATACCTCTACCCCATCCCTTGTCATTTACATTGACTCAACAGCTTTAGTATTTTGGATTACCTATTCTAACTAGTCTAGAGAGCCAGAGCTAAATTACTGTTCAGAGAAATCCTAAACGACTTCTCGCTCGCCTGAATCTCGAGTTTCCAGCCGCTAATATATAGTGAAATCGCAAACCACAAAAAAAGCCGATTTCCATCAGGAGCACCACACTCAGATAGACTTTCAAACCCAATGCCATTTCATTCCCAGCCTCTGGAAATAACCAAACAAAGCATTCTTAGGCACATATCCAGCATATCTCATTTGCCATGCAGCTGCAAACGAGCCCTCAATTGGACCCAACTCCCCAAACCCAAGGATTTCCAATGCCCACGGTGTCAACAATGCCACAATACCCAATGCAATCAGCATGGCGTATGCAGGATGTTCCATTGCAAAGCCAACAGCAGCATTTCTGCTTTGGGTTGCAGCATCAGAAGCAGCTCGCGCCATCTCCGCGCCGGATTTGATTGCATTCTCTAAGCCGTGGAGGATAGCCTGTGCTATGGCGTCTGTCCAATTATCGGTGGAGATTTCTTCGTTCAGCTCTTTGCCAAGCAAGTGGGGATCTTCGGCATTGAGAATCTTGGTGACAATAGCGGAAGCGATGGACTCTGGGGATCGGGGGTCGGTGTGAGGGTGTGGCTTTTTCGTCGGTCTTCCCGAGATACAGCCGTAGATGAAGTCTAGCATCTTGTTTGAGAGTTGTGGTGGATATTAACGTCACGTATGGGAAATCTGAAAAGGAAGGCGCGTTAAGAGTGATAGGGAAGATATAGGGAAGGTGGGGGTGATATATTAGTATGTGAAAGCGTTCGCATGCATAGATGCCCAAGGGACAAAGTATGAGTGCCTGATATGCATGGGTGCATGCGGCCACCCTGTAGGTGGTTCTAACTTCACCTACCTAGGTATGTACTCAAGATTACTAACTACATCATAATAGATAACAGCATGATAGAGCAATATAAAAGGTTCGCCATGAGATACTAAACTCCACATCAAATGGTCATATATCGTGTCTGAGGCATATAAGCTGTGATCTTCCTAAAGTCTACCACTACCCTAGAAGTTGCATAGGAGAACGAATATCTAGATCCCCACATTAGTCCGCCTGCCTTCAGTATTGGCTTTCTGGAACTGCTGGATTAAACCCAAAACGCCACCCCCGCCAGCGATTTCGTCGATATTTTCGCCTTCATCGCCCTCAGTGGGATCATCCTCGTCCCTGCTGAGTGGGTTCATGCGCCAAGAATCGCCGAGGTTGCTGTCACTAGTACCTGCACCTGCACTGGAAGTACCGGTACGAGCACCGGACTGCCGTGTTGCTGAATCGCGGCCATCTTGGGATAGCGGTTCTTCCTCGTCATCGATAGGATCCGTAGACGGGTGCTGGGAACGTCCGAGCCGAGAGCGCTGGTGCTGCTGGGGGGTGGTTCGGGCTGCGGCGCGGAACCCAGTGGTCGATGGTTGGTGGTGCGGGTCAAGGAGCATGGATGGGGCAGGAGAGCGGTGATCAAACCCTCCCATTTGCCTTATTTTAGAGGCGCCCATCATTGATTGAGGGCCGAATGACATACCGGAGGTCGGCCCAGTACGTGCCTGGAGATGGTCAAGGCGATCAGGAAGAGTACCGAACTCGCCTGCAGTGGGCGAGCCGAGGGTTGGCAAGGTTGGCGGTGGGTGGAATGGTCGCCGGCTGGTAGGTTGATTGGTGGTACCGTAGTTGTCCAAGAAGCCATAGTAGGAAGCCAGCATTTTGCCGTCTTTAGTTGAGAAGTAATCTGTGCGCAGATCTTGTTTGCCAGGATCCCGACGCGCGGGTCCGGCTTGGGAGAGCACATTTGTGCCCTTCTTGAAGTCGAAGACGGCAAAAGAGCAGAGATAGCCTACACCATCAACGTGCACGGTGAACTCCCGGAAGAAGTCAATGAGGCGGTCACTGCACTTGGGCAAACTGAACCACAGGACGAAAGGAGTGAAAATCATGCTCAAGATCTCTTCCAAGAATATCACAATTTTCATTTGATAGAGGATTGCAAATTCTTTCCGCACGTCATCGCTATGCAAACGTCCCTTCCATCCAGACGGGAAGTAATGTGTAAAATCAATCAGCTCGAGAAGTGCATATTCGGGGTCGAAAACATCAGTCTCTTCAGGTGCTAGCCCTCGCGCAAAAGCCCAGACTGTACCGAAAATACCAAGATAGAATAGTACAGTCCGGTCAGGAGTAATCTCAAACCCAAGGAAGAGCTCCGGATCTATCACCGAGGCAAGAGCCAACACTGAGGCAAGAGCCCCAGAGATGAAAGCAACGAAACGAGCCACTTGAACGGTTTTATCCTTGGGAAATTGGTCCACATAGCGACTGGCGAATGGATAGGACATGTTAATTCGACGCTCAAAGAGATGCCAAAGCTCATTGAACTCGCGGAATTTCCATTCCGCCATAGGTGTATATTGACGGGAACCAATTTGGCCCGGATTCTTCTTGAACTCGTTGAAGTACCGGAAGAAGTAGTGCATCATAAAATAGACCACAATAAAGGGCGCTACGAAGATATTCATGACGCCAGCGAAAACAAAGCGCCGGCGTAAGCCATCACTCAGCGCTCTTCGATGCGTGTCCTTGAGGAAAAGGGTTCGCAGTTGGCCTTGCTCATTAAAGACATAGTCCATGACACAAAGATTGAGGTTCCATTCCATGGTTCGGGAGAATAGTTGTCGATTTTTGAGGAATGGAATAGGGAGAGTGAGGTCCAAAATATCTTTGTTTACCAATGCGATCATGTAGTTCTCCTTGCGCATTAGGCGGTTGGCAATATCGTGAGCGTCCATTCGCTGCTTTGACTGGCTGCCCAAAAATCTTCGGTGTTTTGTAGAAACCGCAGCCGCGGTAGATGGGTTCGAGTCTCTCAGCGCCATCAGTCGACTGACCACTTCTTGCCAGGAAATCGTCTGGACCTCGGCATCTGAAACGCCGAGCAGGTAGAGGTAAAAGTCATGCAGATGTTTGAGCCTGCGAATGTCTAGCAGGTACTGAAAAAGCTTCCCGATCCAGAAGAAGCTGAAGAGCCACAACAAAAATGTGGACGACCCGGACATATTTGCTGTGCATTGGGGAATGAGGATATCATCCAGAGTCTTGCTCCGCCGGACCTTAGTATAATCAATGCAGTTGGTTAAAAATGTAGAAAAACCAACAACGAATGCAAATGTCCTGTATGTACTGTCAGCTTCTCCTATGATTCTCTGGAAAGGGTATTATCATGGACCCACATGAGGTTCAGCACCCGGGTCAGCAGAATGGACCAAATTCCGTTCCCTAAGAAGTATATATAGACATCCTTTAAGAAGTTATCCAGATCCTCGACGTTTGCCCACCGCCACATTGCTTTCTTTTTGGGATCAACATTGGCAAGGCCGGGGTGTTGGCCGGTGAACCATCTCCCTATGGGATGACTGCCTTCACTGGGCGGTTGTTGATGGGCTCCTCGTTCATTCCAGCGGGCTCCCGTAGGTTGTGAGGATGGTCCGGGACTGGGGCTTCTTCGTCGATTCGAACGGTCATGGGATCGGGGAGGAGGAGGTAACCGTGATTTCAGGTCTTCGTGATGACCTTCTACCAGAAGAGACTGAGGGACGTCTTCATCATGATCATCAAGCTCATAGCCGAGTGGCGATTCCTGAGGCATCCATCGAGGCCGGGACAACTTGCGACGACGGGTGCCGGATGGAGAAGCTCGCTCTTCAGGTGCCTTGCCCGACCGTGCTTGGTCGAGCAATGCAGTGCTGGGGCTGATTATTTCACTGTCTTGCGCATCTGCTAGTGCATCCTCCAGTTCTCTGTCACTAAAGTGTTCCTGCTGGTCATCTATGACCAAACCGGCACGTTCTTCGAGATCAGAGTATTCGGACCCGGCGTCATGTTGGCGAATGGTCTCGTAGACCGATGGTGAGCCCGTTGGGGGTAGGAACCGCGATAAGATGTTAGAGGACATCATTTTGGATCAGACTGAAGGCTATAGTCAGACCACTCATGGCAACAGCTTCAGAAGCCAGTGATAGTGGTGATGAAATGCCATCCAGCGGCGTTTGATAATGCGGAGAAATGGGGATCACTATCAATACAGGAGACCGAATGTTATCGGGTTGAAAATGGGTATGTGCCCTGATTAAGGTGATTGTACCAGCTTATAAAGAAGTATGCATCTGACCTAGTCCTCGTGATAACAGTCACCAGGAGCTGTGATCATTCCCAGGTTCCCCAAACCTCCCGATAAAGCTATGATGACATAAAGAAGGGGGGAAACGGGATTGCAGCCTCAGGCAGATATCCTTAAAAGTCATGTGGGTGGTGGCACACCCGTGGACGTCATGTGATATGTGACTATAGCTCGGGTAACCGATTAACTTAGAGGTCAGGTCACCATCTTACTAATAATGTCATGTGATGATAAAGGTCAGGTCACTAGTTCGTACCATGAATAAATTTCAATTGTATTGCCTACCTAGGTAAGAACTAGTTAAGGAAGCGGTAAAGGTAAAATGTTTGGAAATGGTATTAAAATTTCAGAGGTCGGGTCACGTGCTAAATGGTGACCTGACCTCTGAGTTAATCGGTGACCCGAGCTGCCTTCTGATGTGATGCTACTTATCATCTTATCTTATCTTATCTCCACAGGTGATATAGATGGATGGATAGATGGATGGACGGACCTCGGGATGGTTAGGGGCTATAAATGCGTCCACAATATATATTATTACCCGGTGCTTGCCAAGTAACCTAATATGCCCGAAAGGGGATTTGACTATTTAGCAAGGACTAATACCTATACACCATATTTTTACTACGAAAAATTCTTTCTTCCTTCTCACTCACTGCTACTGTAGCCAATTCAATCATCGATTCCCTTCGATTTTGCCGAGGATGGATCCCTTTGCTAAACTTCCAGCGGAAATCATTTTGTTAATTCTCGAATCCTGCTGTGACTTTACCGGCTTAGACGGTCTGCAACAGATATCTCCCTGGGTGGAGCAGGTATTCGATACCTCTTATAAGACTGTCACCGAACATGTCCTGAAGAACTGTTCCTTCACCTTGGAGGGGCTCCACCATGAATTCACGCTCCTAGCCACTATCGCTCCTAGCCACTATCGCTTCTACAACATTCACCCCCACAGCCATGCTTGAACAGCTTGATAGCTTTTCAGGGAAGATCGTGCGGCCGGTTTCCATATCCACCATCAACTCATTAGTTGCAGTACGCCAGGCTGTGAGTACAGCGGCAAAAGTCCACCTTACTGCCTGCACTTGTCTCCAGCATTTTTTGACTCGTCTCGAGTCAGCAAACCCTCGCCGTCCAATTGCTTCTCCGAATGACGGTTTTGAATGGTTGCACAGAAGACTTCCAGAACTCAAAAGTGAAACGTACCAATTTAGGGTCGATTCACCGTCATGAATCGAGTCTTATCGAATGCATCACGGCCTCTGGAATCTAGAGCTCTTCGGCCACATCTATAAGGCGGCATCTACACGCTGGTCATGGTCTACGCATGATCTGAATTGCTTCGTTGAACAATATGTGGAATGGTGTCGGTTTCAGTCGGGGCTGGAAGGAATCCAGACGATCTCAGAATGCGTGGTCGATCTGTGTCCCACTGAGCCAACTATTCTGAATCGTCGATTTTCATTCCTTATTGCCATTCCGTCGCCAAGCGATTTGGCGCTGCAAACATGTTGGTCTCTGCCAGTGGTTCCCGTTGATACTCAAGTTAATGCCGCATGGGGTCGACTTCGGTGTTTCCCTAAGAGACGAAATACCGTTCTCAATTATTACAATGCGGTGCTTCGTGGTGGAGCCAAGGGTCCTCCTAACCCTCTCTGGGAATTAGATTTCCGGGCATTTCGACGAGTTGGTATACCTCTCTGGGACAGGTGGCGATTGTACCAGATGAGACTTATGAAAATTTCTCGTAGTGTGCTCTCACCGGAGGGCAATTTAGTTGGTGGGGAGGCAGATTGCATCGAATGGTCACGGTGGGGTGTTATTTATACGTGGTGTAGTCTAGCAGAGGATGATGATGTGCTTCTAGAGTTTAGAAAATAAACCTGAGCACATTTAGAGGAACTTCCGAGATCAATTAACAGCACGCAGTCGAACCCATCATAGACTACTCCCATAGGGTAGACGACTTCCCTCTTTGCTATAAGATCCTTACTTTGATCGAAACACCCAAGACGACGATTGCTTCAGTGTTTTAAAGCAATTTTAAAGCTCGTCGTTGCTCGTCCTCTAATCGTAAGACATTATTTTATGTCGTTTATTGGAGCTTAATATATTGTAGTATAATAGGCAGAGCTTATGACGAGAAATAATGTCCGCAGAGATGAGCATCTAAAGACGATGGAAACAGTGAGGCTTTATGAGGGGGAGTCCAAGCAAGCAGCTCAATTCAATAATACGACGATTTTGTGCCTTAACACCCAGAGATGATTGCACGCAGGGACTAATTTACACTCGTGACAGCATTGACTCTAGATTGAGATTATCATCAAATGTCGTCACGAAATCTGTTGTCATCTGGATCTTTCCAAAAAAGTTTGAGATCATCTTCATCCTCCCGTTCATCCACAGTCCTACCATTTGGAATACAAGGATCTATGCCTTCAACCTTCAGCCATGGCAGTTTGGCATCTTTTTCAAGCGCCAGTTGCTGAATTTGGGCATTGACATCTATATCCGATTCGTAATCGAGATAGGGGGTCCACCTATCCACAGGTTCTCCGAGCCCGTAAATCCGGAGAGAGTCAAGAGTAGACGGGATATGATCAACAAGATTGAAAGACTTCGAGTCAAACTGCGTCTTGCCATCTCCTACACCTCGAGCTAGATAGCATAGCGTATGGGCTCCAATACTGAGGTTCTTGAGGTGTGGAAAGTCTTTGAGGGAGACGCGTGCGGGTGCAATTTCCGCAATTCCCGCGGTAGCTAGCTCCTGTAGCTCGTCTGCCCATTGCTCCTCATACTCTTCTTGTTCTTCTTTGGTCATTTCACCTTCGTCGGGTTCATATTCCTCATCATACAGTTCTTGTCGAGGTGTCTGGCTCTCCATATCCAGATTCAATTCTTCTAGAGTCTGGCGATGTATCCAAAGGGACTTGAGTATCGGAGTCACGTGTAACATGGGGTGGCCACCTCCTGGGTATTGACGACCACCGATAGCGGAGGTAAAACATTTCAAGGCCTTCGCTGATTCGATAATACGGCAAAGATCCCAACTTTGCATTACAGAGTGTGTAAAGCTGATCTTGCTATAGTTGGCGGAACGGGGAGGAGGCGGTATTCCGGCGTCATTACTCCACGTTACCAGCTTGAAAGCGACCGTTTCAACAGCCGGTAGTTCACGAATCATATTAAGCCGATGATAATATGGGTCTTCAACGTACTCACTACGTTCGTTGAGCTTATCGTCAGGGTGGAAGCTGAAATTTCGTAGATTTTGGCAGTACGGCACCGACTCCGTAGAGGCCCGATATATCAACCTCTGGAGAAGATTCACCCTCTCATAATCCCCAGTAGATGGAGATCGAATGTATTCCAGTAATGGATACATTGATATGGATTCAAGATTCGGAGCAGCTGCAACTAAGAGCGTAATAAGGGCATCTTTGAACTGAAGTGCTTCCTCGTCTGAATCACATCTATATTGCTAGTGAGTAACAAAATTGAAGCGTAGATGGGGATAAAAGCCTACTCGAAATTAGCAGGGTTACGTGAAAGCATAAATAAAATTGACTCGCGCTCCTGTGTATTTTGGAAGCCGGCGCCTAGGATTGCTTGCTTGAGTCTGTTGATGTCCTCGGGGGAAAGTACAGAATTTTGGGTAGAAAAGTCAGAAGTAAACTCGATCATTCCAGTTCCGTACAAGTCCACACGACGAAGATAATCTCCCAGAGATGGAAATCGTAAAATAGCAAGCAGTGTGTCTAACCCAGCTTGGAGTACAGCTCCATGTGTTTGCGGTAGCTTCTCTCGGCCAAACTTCAATTGGTGATATTTCTGACGATTTTTCACATTACATAGAGCATGTATTCCACGGCTTTGCTGCGACAAGGCCATGATGTCGTGCACCGGGGGCCTGACCACGTTGAGCAGCAAACCACTGGGAAGATTCCGCAGGGACGGCATTTTTGCCTGCGTAGCAATACGTCGAATCAAAGTAGTTCGGGACATGCCTAAGTTGAAGAGGAAAGGGGAAAAGTAAGTAGGAGGAAGGAGGAAAGGAGGAAAGGAGGAGCGAAATACTGAAACTTGATGTCTTAGCACTAGGGCCTCGGCAGAAATCTGTACCAAGTACCAGTTCACTACTAACTTCTACCACCACCAGCTCTACATTACGCTACCTGCAAGCTGCGAGAGTACCCCAGCACTGTGAGTTGTATCAAGAGGTGTGTTGAGATCTACAAACTAGTAGACGAGATCATGAAAGCACAATGTATTGTATTGTATTGGGGGTATGAAGTTGTACAGAGTATAGAGGAAAGAGATACCACACTAGTCTTATTACGGGGCGAGAGATCGTGTGACACTTAAACAAAGTGAAATTGCGAAGCTGGCGTGCAGGGATCAACTCCAATTTGAGTGTGGTGTGAACATCTAGAACAAATCCATTGACCATACAATTCTGCACTGATTATTTGTCGAATACCAAGTTGAATATATATTAGTACATATGTCCACGGGTAGTTACATGGTGGAGATAAGGTATTATACCCAGAAAATCATATGATAACTGGTACTAAGCATACCATCCAAAAGTCCATAATACAGTTAGTCATCGATATCCGCACCCCTGGACCCGTGGTCAGGTTATTGAAATAGCAGGTTTTGCCATTTTTAGTTAGGGAGAGCCATGAATATATGCTATTCAGGCGATACATTGTCGAACCATTATTTACATGTGCAGGGCGATACCATAAGCCATGGTAGAAGTCTCACAGCTGAGCCCAGCTTGTGAATCACACTCTATGGATCCTTCGGAGTGATTAAATCTGGAACCACAATTGTGTTAGCATAATGAATCAATTCCTCCAATTCTTTCAAGACCTCATCAATATTTGCCGAGTTTGAGTCCTTAATAATGCGAGTTGACCGCCATTGCCTGTGAGTTGTAGGTATGGATGCCTGGTGGAGAACCGATTATGGAAAGAACATTGGCTTCGGTAAGACGGTAAGGTACTATCTGTATCCGTCGCAGGAACAGAACCTTGCACCCATGTACTTTGTAGACATGTGGAGATTAAGGGAGGAGGCTAGCAAGCTTTTGATACAAGAATGCCACTGTACGCCCTAGTAACCGCAGGCTTTTCTTTTTCGGTTTGAGGAAAGCTCTACCAAAATACAATTTCAAATTTTGCCATTGGAGGGCAGGTTGTTTCTGTTTGTCTAAGGCCCTGCTTCCCCCTATTGTCCTGTCAATGTCCAAGCAGCTGGAGACTTGAGCAAAAAGAAAGAAAGAATGAAGTCCATTCTATGTCTACGGCCTTTGGGCCTGGCGGGCTTGGCTCTTGTTGATGCTCAGCAATTTTCGCAGTATTCTTATGACTGGGAATCTCTGGATTTGACGGAGCCATGTTTCTTGGCTGTGAACAGTACTGTCTCTTCTTGCCCGTCATTTTTGGCTCGCTTCACAACAGGGTTTGTTCACATTCTTGTCTACCCAAATAGAAACCTCATAAGCAAGTCCCTAACATTTTTCTTGGTAGTGCTGCTACGGTGGATATAATGGATGAAGACGGCCTTACTTTGTTGTGTGTAGATGACTGTCGGACTGAACTTGAGAGCTTGAGATCGACCATCTCCACATCATGTACCGGAACAGAAGATGTCATGATATATCAAGATGTTGTATATCCAGGTAAGTTAGAATCCCATAAAAGGAAGACCCAATACTTACCTTATCTGAACGTAGCAACATTCATGGTTGACAATTTGCTCAATACCTACGATGTCAGCTGCTACAAGGATGCTTCGTCTGGGACCTACTGTGACTTGATCTTGGCCGAATGGCGCAATGAGACCAACACCACAGATACTGCTCATGACTGTGACGACTGCACTTTAGGACCTTTTAAGCTCCAGCTTGAGTCTGTCATTGGATATGATGATGATTGGGCCGAAGATTTTGCTTCAATGACTTCAAGCTGTGGTGCTACTGGCTATGCTTGGACGTCGCCAAGTGCTTACTCATTAAGCACTGTTGCCAGTACCACTACGGCAGCCAATGCTACATCCACGAGCGCATCGGCGGCTCAGACCTGTGTATCAACGTATACAATTCAGACCAATGATACCTGTAACTCCATTGCAGCAAGTCAGAATGTATCAACCTATAACTTGATGAAAGCGAACTCCCTCACAATTCTCTGCTCGAATCTACCAGAAGTTAGAGAAACTTTGTGCATCCCTCCAACCTGCAACACTGTATCGGTCTTTCAAAGCGACTCATGCGATGATTAAATGGATAACTGGGATGTCAGCATGGCGAAAGTTCTATCGTGGAACCCTATCATTGACGACACTTGCGATAATCTCTATCTATTTCTTGGTTGGGTGTTGTGCTCCGGGTGAGTACCCTTTGCTTTGACCAGAGGACTGTCAATATCATTATGACTTTGTGACTTTGCTAATTCGAAAATGTGTCAAGACCAACCTCTGGTTGGAGTCCAGCCACGACAGCTGCTACAACCACAGCTCTTGCTACAGCTACGGCAATGCCAACCAATAGAATGCCAACCTCAAACCAGAACTGTGCAAGCTGGTATACAGTTAGATCCCATAATTTTCTTTAGAATATTCATCTCTAGCTAACGTTGATAAAAGGTTCAATCGGGTGATGAGTGTGCTACAATCTCTGTCACCGCCGGTATCACTCTTGATGAATTTCTCTTCCTCAACCCGGAAGTTGACACAAACTGTACAAATCTCTGGGTAGATTATGCCTACTGTGTGGAAGCAGTTGGTGATATTGCAACCTATTCTGGGTGGATGACGACTACTACTACTAATGTCATTTTCACAAAGCCTACGACGACTAGAACCACATATACACCGGGGCCAACATACATCCAGGCGTTTGCCCCTGGGACAGACACAGATTGTGATGTCTACCGTGATGGTGTAAACTCAACAGATAATCTCCTTCAAGATTCCGGAATCGACACGAGTGACTGGGACTCTCTTGGATTCAACTTCAACGACTGCTCTATATTTTTGACTTTGTATGGGGTTAACGCTACCCAGCTCGTTTCCTGGAACCCAAGCTTAACCACTTCCAACTGCACTCTGCAGATGGGATACAGCTACTGTGTACTGAAGTCTTGGGATCGTAAGTGCTCCATCCGGTCTTTTCTCTGTTTCCTACACTCTAGGGATCTGACATGAAATACTTTAGTTATCACCGCCACACCAGCGACCGACTCTGGAGGTTCAAGATGCCTCCCTATCAACAGCACATGGGTTATGCCAGATACAGTCTCCAACTGCAACTGCTACACCGTTATTCGCGGAAAGGAGAGCGAGGGTATGATATATTCTAACGGCTTCTCTATTTGTTCTTTCTTGCTAATATTTCTGAAATCTCAGGCGTTGACTGTGAAGCGCTGTGCGGAGATGACGATGACGATTTCATAATCACAGAAGAATCCCTGATCAACTACAACCCCTGGATTGGATCTGGGGACTGCTCCACTGGATTATTTTCAAACCTCACTGGTGAAAATGCCCGGGCTGTCTGTATTGGAACCGGATCGATATCGTCAAGCTCTGCTATTGCCACAGCTACTCCGACAACATCGGCAGCAGACACTTCAACTATTGTGACGTCGACTTCGGCGTCAGCCACTGCTTCCATCACTGCACAGCCTGGTATCATCAACACTTGTGACAAATTACACAAGGTCGTGTCAGGAGATACATGCGACGCTATTTGCAAAGCCTATGATATCACACTGGCGACATTCTACGAATGGAATCCTCAGCTCAATGACGCGTGTACCGCCATATGGCTGGGCTACGGTGTCTGTGTGGGGATTTCTTCATAGAAGCTTTAGAGTAGTTCTCGTGTTATGTGAGGCTGACGGAGGCCGCCATCCGAGAAAGTGATTTGATTTACTTATGCACAGAACTTTATCAGCTCCAGCATTCTCTACTGGGTAAATTAGTGATGATGAGTTATTTAATTCTTGATGCCTAGATATAAGTATGCAAGCACAACTCTACATCCATACACTCCAAAATTATTATGACTTCGCCCCACAACATGGTAGCTAGATTGAAATAATGGGCAACAATTGTAAGCTTTATTTGGTATGGACCTACGGCAATAAATATGGCGAACCCAATCAGAAGTAGAAGGCGGGAAATATTCCCATTGGTTTTTTAGATCACGATACTCTGATATTCTCGATCTTCACTTATCTGTAGCTCGTAAGCAAATTACATTTTTCTAAAAGGTTATGACAGTCACTCTTCCCTTTTTAATTCCAATAAAAATCAAGCAGTGGCTGTCTGCGTTGGGGATTGTGTGGTTGTGCTCCCCATTTCTCAAATTGACAGTTCTACTCTGAACTCTAAGACTGCCCACCTCCATTTATTCACTTAATTCCTATCTCACCCACCGCAATCAGTCTAGTCAGTTAGATCCAGAACGATGCGACCCTTAAGTTGACGTTTGTTCATCTTGTCAAATGTATCCATGAGGGTTGACATCGGCTGCACGGTGACCCGGGTCGTTACCACCCCGCGAGCAGCCATCTCCATGGTTTCAATGGCATCCATACGGTTTCCAACCACACTCCCCACAATACTGATTTCCTGGCTAATAAGCGTAGCGGGATCTGCAGAGGCAATTGCAACTGGAGCGCCTTCGGGGACTCCAACACAAACCACGGTACCCCCAAATCGTACAAAAGATACCGCAACAGTGTAGGCTTCATTGGAACCAGTACATACAATAACAGCAGCAGCGCCGATTTCATGAGGGGTAACCTTTTTGACATCGATAGTGAGTTGAGGATCGTTGGTGTGATACTTCGAGATATCGATGTAGGATTCAGCGCCACATTCTTCTGCGAATTCTTTCTTATCACCGTAGTCGATAGCCTATTAACACAAGTTAGAGGTCAGGCTTGTCTTACTATCAATATATTATTAAGGGCATTACAATCATTCGGAGCCCCATACCGCGCCCTCCCATTTGGAGGGCCAGATGACCAAGACCCCCCGTTCCTCCCATAATAACAACTGCATCACCCTAGAATATCATTAACCGAGCTGCTCACATTTCTCCTAAGAGTGGAAAAACCGTAGTGTTTACTTACTGGCTTCGCACCACATTTCTTCAACGCGGCATAAACGGTAATTCCTCCGCAAAGCATCGGTGCCGCCAGCTCACTTTTAAGCTTATCAGGGATACGAGTAACGTAGTCTGCAGGCGCAAGGGCATATTGCTGGAAAGTTCCAGGCTCGCCATATCCAGATATAGTCCCGTTCGAACAGCAGCCATCGCGGCCAGCTAGGCAAGGGAAGCAGCTCCCGCATACACGAGCCATCCACTTGATGCCTACGCGGTCTCCAAGTTTCAAACCGGACTGTTCAGTGTTTGGACCAAACGCCACAATATCACCAACGCCTTCGTGTCCCCCGATCTGTCCAGGTTGGGCTGGAGGGCCGACATCTCCTTCTCTGCGGGTCATCACACCCCAATCACTATGACAGACACCCGAGTGTGTAATACGCACAAGGACATCACCATTTCCAGGTTGCGGTGTGTCGACTGTGAGATATTGGATACTAGCCGTCCCTGGCTTGTCATAGGCGATTGCCTTGTGCTGGGATGGAATTTGAGAAGTCATCTTATAATGATGGAAGTGAGGTCGGCCGTACAGGAGGCTCTGAATGCCTAGATGGTTTTGATGGAAAATAGGGAGCAAAGTCTTGAGGCACGAGTGGTATTATATTGTTTGATAGACATATCGCTCTATTACCCCGCTTCACTTGGATGTATTAACATCGGGCGTCGGCGAACTTATCGGTAAATTATCTACTACCTTATCTGGCCGACCCCCGGTCCTATGGTAACATAGTAACAATTCATTTGTCGTCAATTGGGATGGTTGCGATCAGGTCTTTACGCCAGATCGGTATACTCGAATCGGGCGATAAGAGCGCCAGTTGAGATTTTCAACTTATGTAAATGAAATTCGTTGCTTTCAGCCTTCAAAAAACTTTAAAGTTATTTTATATGATATATTTAATCCTCAAAATGACTACACGCATCTGCCTGGGGCTCCTCATCTCCTCCTCCAAAATTAGCCTCAAGCCTTTGTTGCAAAGAATTGCCTCCCAGCTCCCTGATGTTACATTTCATTTCTCTCGATTTATCGTCTCTGATATCAGTGGCGATCAAAATTCCTTGCAACAGTTTCAAAGTAAGATGATCATTCCTACTGCCAGATTCCTGGCCGATGCGGATGTCGATATCATCGGTTGGATGGGCACTCCCTCGAGTTGGTTAGGCTTTGAGACCGACTATGTCTTGTGCTAATATATCACAGCCGCAACGGGTATTCCAGCTACCACGTCTGTGTTGGGTTTGAACAAAGCTTTCAAAAGGCTCTCTATCACAGAAATAGGACAGGTGCCACCGTACACTGACGACATCTAGTCTGCTATCGTTAGGACATATGCGCTTACAGGGGCTGACTGCAGCAAAGAAAGTCATCTTGGATTGTCGAAGAATAGAACTTTCGCCGAGGCGGATGAGTCCACGCTCGACAGGATGGTTGGAGATGTGGCGAGTAATAAGGCACAGGCAATAACAATTTTCTGTACGAACTTGCGTGCCGTATAGAGAGAGTGGACTATTGGAAGAGGTTTGGCATTATAGTGCTTGACACAATTCCCACTATCGTTTGGGACACATTGAGAATAAGCGGAGTAGACTCAACGCATGTGGAGGGATGGGGGAAATTGTTCACACAGGCCCTAAACAGGAACCGACATTTTTGTTATGGTTTAGTGGTGAATTAGCTGTATTATTTTCTTTATATGACTTCAAAATAAATACAGTGGCCGGAGGAGCTGGCCTTGCTGACCGCAAATAATATGAAGAATTCTAGCCGCACACAACTCCAAACGACTAGTATATACACTCTATTATAAACTATCTCCCACAGTTCTAACAGAGCTTCATCTTCATACACACCGTAGTGGGAGAGATAGTGATAAAGGCAACAGAGGGAGGACATACCGGATGTGGCACCGGTAATGAGGGCAACCCCTGGGAAAAACGTCATTATGCAATAGGATACAATCAACCTTGGAATGCATACTAACTTATGAAGCTCGCTACTAGCCCAGTTAGATTGCCTAATGGGCTCTGTATCCCGGGTTCCAGTTGACGGTGGTTACCTACCCTGCCAAGCATGGGTACCTAGATACCCATCCCCAACTACAGGACCAGACAGTCACCATAGCCGAATTTAATGTGGGTACCCATGCTTGGCAGAATAGGTAACCATCCCCAAACTGGGTGCCCAGGAATACTTTATCTTCTCGAGACCATCCATTGGCTGACACTAGATCTGACTGTGTCTACATGGTCACTACCCGGTCAAAACACCCTATTTCTCTGGCATGGTATCCAGAGAAGAAAAAGAAAACAACTAAACTACCGACAAAGAACCACCAAAAATGAAGGACACAAATAATAGGAAGCCGTCATCAACAACACAAATGGCAGGCTCAGCCTCAGCCTCAGCCTCAGCCTCGGGCATGGACAGAAATGCAGAGGAAACCATGCGCCTTGCCATTGCCCGCTTCCGTAGTAGAATGGCTGCTGCAAACCAAAAGTTTCTTCAGGACCGCCTCAAAGAAATTGAAGGAAAAGGTCTAGCTACTGAAGAAGAAAAGCGCGTCCAGCTCCGCCAGTACAAATATATGGACGATGTCAAGTGGGATGACGAAGACCCTGAGACGTGTGGAAGCGGCAGCATAATCCAGATTCCACCGCAGACACCAGTCAAAGACCTGAATATCCCTGCTATTCTCAACGCCCTGCCCTCACATGAACCGGCGGACGGTGTAAAGCCTCCCCTGCTACGCTCAAATCAGTGGCGACAGATGTACCTCGACACAGTTCAACGCATGTGCCAGCAGCAGGTAGACGCGATCGTTGCCGATGACGACGAGGATCGTGGCGTCGCGTGCACGTGGCACAAAGATCATAGGCCGATGACTATCCCACCATGCGACGAGTTGGCTCTGTTCCTCAAGTATGCTCAGGGGGTGGCGGATGTTGACTTCCGCCTCTCGGGCATTGCGCCGTTCACACCGGCTTGGTCGATCGGGGTCAAGGACGAGGAACTGGAGGGGCTTGATGAAAGACAGAGGCGCGACAAATTGGCAGATCCGGGGCTATTGAAGCGCGAGCAAGCGCAATTGCAACGGCTGTTAGAATATAAGTTGGACGATAAGACTCTGCGAGCGTTTATCGACGAAGACCTGGATATCAGGGCTGGCTTTATTGCCGATATTGGATTTCATATGTGGCACGCATGCCCAGCGTGGTATAGTGCGTATGTGTACTGTCGGCTGATGACGGATGACGAGGATGAGAACAAGCACAAGGATGAAGACATCCAGGATGCTGCCAATATCAGGGAGTGGGGGTGGCGGGTGGTTTTCTTTAAGGCTGAGGTTGACAATCCTACACCTCTGTACGGCCGTAAGGCACGCTTTGATTCTATTCCAGAATTCTTGGATTGGTACGCCAGCTGGCTGGATCATCTAGATGCACGGGCCCTGCTTTCTCTGCGCCGTCACGCTGTAGCCTGTGAAACGGACTGCGAGTCTGACTGTGAAGATCATTAGATGCCTTTGCTCATAATATCTCTCGATACCTTGGAAGTATTCAAAGTGGTTTGACTTTTTTTTCTTCCCCTAGAACAGCTGAGACTATATCAACTGAAGACATAGCAATTGACATATGCAGTGAATACATACATATCCTTGAAGATACGTAGTACGGTACTCCTGCATATTTGCATAACTATATGCTCATGCACATGTGGAATTGAGAACTCAAGGATGATCCATAGTTAATACTTCGCCGTATCAATCGTCCAACAAATATTTCCTATAAAAATTTGAACGTGCGTCGAGTATGATGACGAAGATTATGATGTACTCATTTGGCCGATCGCTCTATATTGTTGAGATTCATGGCGCATTCAGACTAGATGCTTGACGCATCAGACATGAATCTACTCCGTAGTCGGAGCAGCTTAGTAAGTCTGATCGTATCGGGATCTCACTGAAATTTACTCAGTGAGCCTGACCCTGAGGGCCCATATAAAAGCAGCGGCAGCTAATATAGGAAAGCTCTACCCAGCAAAGGAAATCAAGTACGTGTTCAGCTCAGTGGAGGGCGCGTACTCGGTGAGAAAAAAAAAGCAGCGAGGAGTGAGCACTAAGACGGAAAGGGAAAGCCAAGGCTTGGCAAAGGACCTCGGAAATCAAACCAGTGACTAAGCACCATCAAATTGTCATGTGACCTTGAATAAATTGTGTGGTCATGTGCGGGTACCCGTAGAATACATACTCCGTACGCATCTTAAAGTTGCGACTTGGTACTTACATGATTGTTATGCTATATAATATTGATCAGTTCATATTTTTTTTATTAGATACTGCAAGACCAGTGTGCTTATTTTTACACCTACCATCCCTCCACAGCTCAATCTAAACTGAGTTCTGTGTGACTCTAGTATATAATTCCGGCTGAAGATCTCATTTCCTCAACGCTGCAGACTAACAAGTGGCTCCACTTTCGGGGATTTCCCTTGGTCTGTGTTGGTAAGAGGAGAGATCTCGACTACAACATTGTAGGGAGTAAATCATAGTTAGAAAATGTTTGCCCAGGTGCATCCTATACTCCGTACCCACTTCTAACTAGGGTTAGGATCTGCGCCCCAGACACCACGTTGGGATTATTTTGCATATTGCAGAGAGCAGGCCATATGAAAACCATTCTGTATGGAGGTACGGAGTAAGTGCAAGTCAATGTAGCAGGTGGGAACGGTCAGGAGCCTTGAATACATATACATAACAATATCTATGGATCCGAGAATGATATGCGATGAACAGCAAAAAAGGGATCGATAATGGATATGTATCTCAAGAATAACCCCCATGACTCAAAATGAGTGGTCCCATTACCACTAGCTCAGTAGTCTGCTGGCCAGTGCGAGGCAGTAAAAAGACGCCATGCAGTCATGTCGACTTCTAGAATCTTTCGGCACTTTACTATTTTCGGGAATCCGAATGGAAGGGGAAACATGCACGCTAGTGACTTGGGGAAAGCTATTGACCTTAGGTCAAGCAAGCCCAGCTTAAAACCCGCTATTTACTTCTTCCCTTGCCCCGATGATATTATACAATATAAACTCGGTATCTTCGGTTAAAGGCTGAAGGTTAAAAGGTTGAGACCTTGGATCTACATGCATGGAGTATATCTGGGTAAATTCATAGTCTAACCTCACTTGCTTTACGAATGATTGGAGATGTATGTATATCGAACTTGGTGATTCCATGTTGCGCTGTCATCGAAGTAGCGTAAAATAGGGGAGTATCTAAGTATAAAGCAAAGAGATATAGCCAATAGTAGAACTTGAAAGCCCAAGAGACCTAAGATAGGTGAAAAAGGGCCAGAAAGTGTTACCCATTCCTCATTATTTCGTTATTCGTTATTTTCCCCTATACAAACTCAGCTCCGTTATCCACTTCTTTCTCTCCCTCCCCCCCCCCCCCCTCTCCCTCCCTCTCCCTCTCTCTCTTTTTCTCTCTATCATTTGGTGATCATTATCCGATCTTCCCGTTACAATCTCCACTTGATTCTTCATTTCTGGGAAATATTTTTCTTTGAAGTCGTTCCCCCTCATTCTGCCCCCATCCCAAAGCGGCCTATATTGGCTGGAACCCGCGAAAACACATATACCCACAAACACCTCTCATAGAGAGTATAACCAAAACCGCCCCAATTTCAAAAGGGACTGATGAAGGTATGTGCGCATCTCTTTAATCCCTATATATCCTCAAACACTTTCCTTCCCCTCCCTCCAATAATAATGATATCACGCCCGTCTCAACCACCAATTCCCCTCGGGTCGCTTCTCCAGACCATCACTGACACTGACAGCGACACTATCGCTATCGCTATCGACTGGTCGGAGGATTGGACGCTCACCGCATTCGCTAGGTACTCTTGCATCTCTCAGACAAACGACGGTGACCCGCGCCTCCTTTGTCCTGGTCTCGCATTGCTTCCCCTCTCCCGGCGCCTCGACCGAATGTGCGACCTCAATACCCAACCTCTCACCGGACTCCATGTGGTCTCATAACAATTTCCTGGACAAAAGCGACCCCAATTATTCAATCGCAGCTGTGCTGCATACGTCGGGTGCCAACAAGGACTTCTCAGTTGTGTTGAGGGAGGTTTGTGTTGGGCGCGATTAGGAAGTGAACCTGTCTCCCCTTTCCTCATATATTGACGGGTTTCATTTTCGTTCTATGTACATCGCCTGCCAAAGGGGCTGTCTATAACCAAACGAGATGGAGCCCGAGAATCCGAACGCGTTCAAGCGAAGCTCGATGCACCAAGCGTTATACAGTCGTCCAGTGGAACGACGTTCAAGCAAGAAGTCCTCATCTAGGGACCGGCATGGTATGGTCTATCCCGACAGCTTCGGAGAAACTACCATTCGAACTGTGACGCCAGAGTCGCACTCCTCCGCAAACCATTCCCCTTTATCCGAACCGGAGCACCTCACGGGCGGCACTTTGTCTTCACCTCGAAACACCGTGCGATCACGGCCCATCGAACCCGAACGTCGTCGGGATTTCAGCAAACAATCATCCGGACCAGGCGAGGAAGATCCTCCGGTGGAAGCAAGGAGTCAACGGGCGCGATCGCGGACAACGGCGGCTGAGGAGCAACGCAACGACATCACCCCCAGCACTTTCAAAGCTCGAACGCGGGTTGGGTCAATTAACACGGCCAGTCCGTCTCAACCAAAATTACCTGCCCCTCAACCAAAATTGCTTGAAGATCCGTCATCTTCCATTGGGTTTCCGTCAATTGAGTCCCCAAAATACAGCAGCCAGACCGTTCCTCGCCATCGAATAAGCAAAGCTTTTGGTCTGGTCGCCGGTGGAGCACGAAACCAAGATTCGTTTGCCTCACCCCTCTCTGGTGCGGAAGCCACAAAAATCCTGCAGTTGATGAAGACTACCTGTGGTAGAATGCATGGAATTCTATCATTTCGAACAGCCTCGACCACTTCCTGGACATCCGGATACTGCGCTATCAATGTCGCTACTGGAAGTCTCATCTACCAAGCCAAGGGAGAGCCGGCATTGGCTAAAACATTAATCCCCGATCTACGTGGTTGTCGAGTTCGGACGATGTGGGACTCTGAGCTCCAATGCACCTATCTGAGCGTTTACACATTTACCTCTGGTCTTGGGATACAACTACGACCTCACGTGAACGAAACCTTCGATTCCTGGCTTGCAGCTCTCCTTTGTTGGCAACCAATTCGGCCCAAGGGTGTTCAGAACAAGATGACAAAGCCTCAAGAGGTTGTGATTGGAGACCGACGAATCCCTGAACGTCGGCGCAACTCGGAAAGTGCAGCACAAAAGGATGCAACTATCATCAAAGTTGGCAAGATGCTTTTATGGGACAAGCCGTCTGCTGCCGGTGCAATGCCGGTGTCCGGACGCCGCGTGTCCACGTACAGACAGTCAAGGGCTCTTTCTTCCTCGTGGCAGAAGGTGAGCTGCACACTACAAGAAAACGGCTTTTTCAAGCTCTACACAGAGTCCGACGTGTCTCTTTTAGCATGTATCCAGTTATCTCAATTGTCACGCTGCGCTATCCAGCAGCTGGACTCCTCGGTGTTGGATGATGAGTTTTGCATTGCCATCTACCCTCAATATGCGGCACACCCAGTACCCGATTCCAACGTGCGGCCTATATACCTCGCTCTTGAAAGCCGTGTGCTTTTCGAGGTGTGGTTTGTGCTTCTCCGCGCTTTCACAATCCCAGAGCTTTACGGTCCTGTGTCTCAGGGAGAAGACCCCAATAAAACACCCGAAGCCGAGGCCACCGAACCACCCTTGACTAAAGACATGTTTCGGATTGAACGGTTCTTGAGCTTGAAAATTGTGGAGGCAAAGCTGTTTCGCACCAAAGAGGAGGACACTCCCCGAAGCCGAAAGGCATCAAGATCACATGGCCAGCCTGTTTCAACCTCGAAGGTCAGCGACTATTACACAGAGGTGCTACTAGATGGAGAAATTCGTGGCAAAACTGCCGTCAAGTATCGCACCACGAATCCTTTCTGGCGAGAAGACTTCCTCTTCACTGATCTGCCGCCCGTGCTATCCCAGGCCTCTATCCTCGTCAAAACTCTCAACCCAACACAGAGGGACTGGACACTTATTGCCCACGGAACATACGCTCCCAACCAAGACGTGAGTGCTGTGAACATGCTGGATGAGATTGAAATTTCTGCAAATGATATCATCTTCGGACGCGTAGACCTGCGACTCGAAGAATTGGATGCCGGCGTGGATATCGAAAAGTGGTGGCCTATCCTGGATAACCAAGACCAGGCAATTGGCGAGATGTTCATGAGAGCCCGAATGGAAGAAACCGTCGTCTTGATGTCCGACGAGTACTCGGCGATGTCGGAACTTCTTCACTCCTTCACAAATGGCCTCACCATCAACATGGCACAGTTGATGTCATCGGAGCTAAATCACCTGGCCGAGATGCTTCTGAACATTTACCAGGTCTCGGGGTCCACGGTGGAATGGATCTCAGCCTTGGTTGAAGATGAAATCGATGGGGTTCACAAAGAATCCACCACTAACCGGCTGAGGTATACCACGAGGATTCATTCGAATAATCCACAGGAGACTAGCCAAGAGCGCGAAGTCCTTGTCAGGGACATGGGAAGGACGGCCACTGTGGAGGCTAACCTTTTGTTCCGTGGAAACTCGCTTCTAACCAAGGCCCTCGATCTTCACATGCGTCGTCTAGGCAAGCAGTACTTGGAGGATACTATCGCGGAACGACTACGTGATATTGATGAGAGCGATCCAGAATGCGAAGTTGATCCATCTCGAGTTCCACGCCACGAAGATCTTGATCGCAACTGGCGAAATCTCACAGCTCTCACCACAGGCGTGTGGAAGTCCATTGCGGGATCTGCATCGAGGTGTCCTCCAGAACTGCGACGCATCTTCCGGCATGTCAGGGCGTGTGCAGACGATCGCTATGGCGATTTCCTCCGGTCTGTGACGTATAGCAGTGTTTCTGGTTTCCTGTTCCTACGCTTCTTCTGTCCGGCTATTCTGAACCCGAAGCTGTTCGGACTCTTGAAAGGTACGGAAACTGCGCCTGTACCTTTGTTTTCTTTTTGCTAACCCCTTCTAGATCACCCTCGTCCTCGTGCACAGCGCACTTTGACCCTCATTGCCAAAGCTTTACAGGGTCTGGCCAATATGACAACATTCGGCAATAAGGAACCTTGGATGGAACCGATGAACAAATTCCTTGTCGGGCATCGCTCAGAATTTAAAGACTTTGTTGATTCGGTTTGTGCGATTCCCGCCGATCGACCAGTCCCTATCGTCACACCCTCCTACACCACCCCTATCCAAATCCTTGGACGGTTGCCGCCCACATCGCGTGAGGGATTCCCTAGCCTTCCATTCCTCATCGACTACGCCCGCTCCTTCGCGAACTTGATACGTGTCTGGCTTGAAGTCTCCCCGGAACGACTTAACGAATTGACTGAGTTGGACGTCAACCTTTCTAAGTTTCAGAAAGAAGCCCTTCGCCTACGGGCACGCACTGAAGAGTGTCTCAGACGAGCTGAGCAAGCAGAGCGGCCAAGTGGAAACCTTGAAATCAAATGGGAAGCACTGGTGGATTCGATGGAACGACCCGTAACCTTCTACGACGAAAGCTCAAGCAAGCCTTCCACCCCGGCGATAGAAACGACAACCAGTACGGCACCGGTCCCAAGCAGCCATCGCAATTCGGTTGGTTACTTTGCTACGCGTCCTTCGCTTACCCGCCGGTCCACTGACCACGCCCCCGATGCCGAGGATGACACGCCTCCAAGCTCGTCATCAGCGACCTGGGACCAAAGCCGCATTCCATTTTCCATCCCACGTTGGTCTGATGCGCGCGACAGCACCGGAAGCTCGAAGAACTCCTCGACCTACTCGCTCGAGTATTCTGAGTCCTCCAAGGCACGTAGGTCCAGCGTCACGAAGGAGTCCTCTTCAAGCAAGTACCGCTTCTTTGATTTTGTTCCTGCTCCCTCCCGACGCAAGGCCAAGGAACGTGACCAGACTCAAAACCATTCGCACGAGGATCTACGCAATGAATCTTAATACACCAATGTCTGCCCATGCAATCTCCTTTCATATTTCCACGTTTTTGACCTTGTTCTTCCTCGTCTACCTCTTTCCCATGTGCTCATGATTTCCACGTTCCTCTTTTCTCCCCTTATCTCTCTCTCTCCCTCTCTCCCTCTCTACTCCCCTTTTCCATCTTGCCTCCTCGAGTTCCGTTCTGCTTGATCATCTATATGTCTATGTTCTCCTCTTAAAGCATGTGTCATGGTGTTGATACCCATTCCTTCTTTTGATTGTGTGTTTCATGGTCCCGCCCTCCCTTATACACATCTCCCCCCGCCCAACTCTAAGATAAAAATTAAGAGAGCTAAAAATCAAGGCTCTCGATTTTTGGGAAGAGAAAAAAGAACACGATCTGATTTTTGAACTCGGCTGAGGCTTTTGTGTTTTACTCTTTTTGGTCGTTCTAAGGAATCATTTTGGGTCTTTTTGTGTGTTTGGATTTCCTTTGGGGATGGTGGTCATCGTGTAAATACCTTTTACTCTTTTTACATTCTTCCAATAGATGGAATGGATCGATGTTTTCGTTTTTGCGGTGTTTGTTGACTCTATTTATTGGATAGAAATACAAACATCAAATGTTATTCGTTGAATACATCTGTACATCAGAACAAACATCAGATACGTCGCTTTTGAGTCATAAGACAGCAGGAGATAAACAAAACCCTAGCCAACACCTCTCTTACAACACCAGATCTTCCAAGGAAGATCAAACCACATATCAAACCAATTAGCAAACAAGCTGTACAGCCACATTCCTAAAGAAGCAACATAGCAACATAGAGAAGATAAGCGTAAAATACATATCATTTCCATAGGCAGAGCTTGCCACTAGCAGTGCCACCAGCAACCCAGTTCTTGCTACGGTGGAACACAGCCACTGCAGGAACAGCAGTGATGCCATCACCACCAAGTTGAGCAAGTTGATCTCCATTGCTGCTGTAAATATCCACGAACCGGTTCATGTTGCCGATACAGAACCGCTGAATGGAAGATTGGGGATTAATCTGCCATTGAGGCCGGAGACTATAAGAACAAAGTTAGTGCTTGATACTTTGGCAAAAACCAAAAGGGACGCAAAACGGAGAAAGAAAGGAATAGCCATACATGGTAACCCAGCGGCCAGTCTGGCAGTTATGACGAACAACAGTATCTGGAGTAAACTCATCTTCTGCAAGTCTGTGGCCCTGCTTCCATGAAGAGAGACCCTTTGCGCCCACATCGTAAATCTTCAATGTGTCGTCGTAGGAAGACGTAGCAATCTGCCCAGCAGCATTGAAAGCTGCGTGCGAAACCGAGAGTCGGCTTTCGTGCTCGGCAATAGGTGTGGGGCTGTCCGGGGAGAGCTTGCGCAGATCCCATAATCTCAAGAATCGATCCAGACTTGCTGTCGCGAAGTAGTGGGGCTGGGAGGGACACAGTGTGAAGCCTCCGATCTTCTTCTCGGAAAGCTCCCAGTTTGACACATTGCTATCTTTCCGCGGCGTGCGCGTATCATACCGCCCGAACCCACCTTGAAGTGTAGTCCAGTACAAGGTATTAGGGTCGTCGGGAGCCATGTCTACTCCAGAAAGCGCTTCATCGATGTTTGTAGATTCAGGGGCATAGGTCTCTGAAGAGACCATTTTCTCCAAGTCGAGGGACCGGATTGAGCTGTCGTAACTTGCCGTGTACAAATGTGTCGGCTTTGAGGGGTTGACCATCATTGCGCTAATAGTTCGGGTATGTGGCTTGAGTGTGGTAAGGACTGGGTCTGGGTCATCTTCATCCTCGTCGTCGTCCTCGCCCACTGCGGGCTTTTCCTGCGAAGCATCCAACATGCCCAGATGACCTAATTTGTCGCCCGCGAATATAAGAGGTTTTGATTCGGAGGGGTGGAACGCCATGGCATACACGCGCTCGGGGGTGATCTTGATCCCTGTAATAATCGAAAATGCGTCAGAATGGTAGCTTGTCGATATAGAGAGTATAGTGATTACGCTGAGGATCCCAAGACTCCCACAATTTAAGCCCATTCATCTCCTCCCGAAGAGCCTTGAGGTCTTTGTCCGTTGTTTTCTCAATTTCATCGTCCCCGAAGGTCCTTTCATAGGGCTTCGCAACGCCCTTGGTGATGACATCCACGCCGATCAGGCTATCCGCACTAAGCTTTTGGCCCGAAACAAACATATCCGCTTGGCTGAACGAGTCTGTCCGGCGCATCCTCTTAATTCTATCCGCTTCGCGCATCGCTTCATACTCGTCATCGGCCTTGCGCTTCGCTACTTCACTTTCAGCCGCAATGCCTTTGAGACGCGAGGATGTGCGCCGGGGGTGATATCCTCCTCAACCTTGACCTTCACTTTGGGAGTCGGGCGCTTTTTCGGTTTTGCGGCATTGCTGCTGGGGGTCTTAGGGCTTGCGAAGAGCCCCGAGGATTGCGACTCGAGGGTGAGTTTCTTCAACAGCGCATCACGCTCAGCAATGTTTGCCAAACGTTGCTTTTCAAAGTCTGACAATTCGCTTTTCGCTGCCATGTTCTTTTTGGGGGTTTCGGGCGTCTCTGGTTCGTAGGTCGTTTGCTCCTCGGGGGTGGTGCGAGGCACGTCCTCAGCGAAACGCGTGGATCTGGGACACGACATCACGTGACCATGCAGAAAGTTGATCACCGATTAGTCCGTGCTGGTAAAAAAAAGATAAAGTGATCTTCTTCTTGTTTCTCTTTTTTACATTGAATTTGTGCAGTTTGAAGAAGTGGAAGAGAAGAAGTAAGATCTCCTCTAGGTTGAACTTGCTCTGAGAAGTGCGCGAACAAGGCTACTCAAGTGCAGACCTAACGACTCAGTAATGGCGGCAAATATCAACCGGCTATGCTTCCTCTCAAAAAGCAATTCTACGGCCCCTTTCCTATATCACACTCGAACACTCACTCCACTTTCATCCGCCGCCCGGAAACAATTCAATCGTCGCTTTCCGCGCTCCTTTGCTACTCAGAATAATACCGCGGCCGATGATGCGACGCCGAGCAAATCACTAGCGGAGGATAACGCAAGTCAGAATACCTCTGAAGAGTCGATTACCTCCAGCTCAACGAGTGAGGCAGCCCCGAAGCCGCGACGAAGCTATCTGCAGAAAAAAGCAGCATCTGTATCTCAAAGACCTAGCCTGAGACCATCTGTGGTGAAGAAGACAACGAAGATAGCACCGAAGATCACAAACCAGGAGAAATTGATATTTGGAGGACTCTTAGAACAGCTTGGATTCAAACACGATGGGGAAACTACCGAGTCGAGCTCATTGAAACCACTCAGCGAGGAGAAGAAGGCGGAAATGGCCGAGCTCATGTCGGTGTTTGATAATCTGCTAAAAGACCCAAGGGCAAAGAAGGCGGCATTGAAAGCCAAGCAGCAACCAAAGGATGAATATTCTTCTTATAGAAGACCAGAGAAATCAGAGACGGAAGAACAAGTTCCAGCAGAGAACCAAGGTCCAAAGCGAATCTATCTCCGTGATCTGGGCTACTCTGAGCCCGCCACGGCCAGCGCTGCCGAAGTAACGGTCAGCCTGCGGAGGGCGATTGAGATCGTCGTCAAAGCGGAATCAGAGCACATCGAATTCGCCCTTTTCCAAGCCATCGAGGATGGCAAGGGCGACATGGGTGTGTGGGAGGTATGCAAAGAGCGCATCTTCTCCATGCTGCGCCACCTAGATGAGAAATCTCTCGCAGAGGCTTCAGACCCGGACAGCCTGAGCACAGCAGAGCAGCCCGAAGCATCCACTCGACCATCAGGACCTCTCAGAGTCCCAGCCGTTGTTCCAGTCGCCCCCGTCGTGGTATCTCTATACCCGAAGGTCCTCCTGATCGCCTTCCGCCTGCTGAACACTCACTTCCGCGAATCCCCACTTATCCCCCAATTCCGCTCAACGATCAAAGAGTATGGTCGTATCTCTTCTTTCCTCGGTGCTTCATCTGGCTTGTACGATGAATTGATCCATTACCACTGGCGGGTATGCAAGGACCTCCCCGCTGTGATATCAATCCTGCGTGAGATGAACCAGCTAGGCATCAACCCAAGTGGAAAGTCCCGCGGCATGCTGACTGGACTTATCATTCGTCAGGCCCGGGACTTGGAAGCTCATCGGAAATCCCCAGACGGGAAGGATTTCTTCTGGGATTTGCCGTCTAACAAGGAGGCGTTCGATGAGCTTACCCGTAAGGATGGCTGGATGGATCAGATCGAGGCGCGTTCAGAGGACGAGGCGTGGGAACGTCAGTCCACTCGGACTTCCCGCCGCTAGGCTCTTGTGTTCCTTTGCACAGACTTCTAATGTACAATATAGACTATCATGTATAATAATATCATGAGCGAAACGATACCAAGCTTCATGTTAATACATCGTTCTTCGTCATTCGACTATCATGTTATTCCAGGTAACTAATAACTAATGTATGTATGTACACCAATAACTCTATCTAACCGAGAAATACAAGAGCCAAAGCGAGCTCCAGTCTGGCTGGAGCAAAAGAAAGAAAACAATCAGAGCCCACACTCTTATAAATCCCCATGAATCCCCCAAAACTTTTCCGCATTGAAGGTATACATGTTATCATCCTTCCACAAATCATCAAAAGCAGTAAAAAGCACCAGATCCTCCCTCCGATGATCAAAGCTCTTCCTCAAACTCGCAATAGCCACCTGTTGGTTATCCACGGAAGGAATAGCAGCTCCATTCGCATCCCCAGCATGCGGCCACCCAGACTCGGTGATCATAGTACGCTTCCCGCCGGCTCTCTCGGAGATGCTACGCGCTTGTTCGAGCGCATACGCACCAGCCCCAGCAGGCCGCTGCGTAGCATCGAAGAAAGCATGGCAGTTCGCAGCGCAGTAATCGGAGGCATGGCAGAGTTCCGGGTGGTCGAGGAGGACAGAGAAGGTATCGACAGTGACGACGGGACCTGTGTAGCCTTGTGCGCGGAGCACGGAACGTGCTGTTTGGACAGCTGACACGACGTCGCTGGGGGAGTTGGTGCCGCCGTTTACGAGCTCGTTGCCGACGGAGATCGTGTGGAAGATTGACCAGTCTTTTTTACCGTCTGGGCCTGCTACTGCGTCACCAAAGGCGTCGAGGCTTCCTGGGAAGCCGTTTAGGTCGTAGACGCCGGCGAAAACGCGCATGTTGTGTCGGCGTGCGGCGTTGGTTACGGTTCTTGTTTGGTCGCAGTCTGTGCCGTAGATACGGATGAAGGAGTATGCGGAGACTCGGTCTAGGTCTTTGTTTACTTCTTCTTGGTTCTTGCAGGTGCGGTCTGCTTTGTAGGGGGAGTAGGAGATGCCGAAGTGGGCGTGTGGGTGCTTTTGAGGGTGTGGATGAGGAACAGCTGGTTTGGGGTGTGCGTCGGGGTTTTCTAGATTCTTGGGTTTGCCTTTGACTGGGCTAGGGTGATCGCTCGGGTCGCTGTTCTTGGATAGTAGATTTGGTGGCTGTGTGTTGGAGACATCGGTGGCTGGGACTGATATTGGGGGTTTCTTTGATGGAAGAGTTAGAGCTGGCTATTTGATGAGGAACCAACATCTCTTCTCTTCATCAGGGACAGGTCTATCTACTAACATTCTCTTGTACTGCAGAGGCCAAGGCCGGAACGTAGTGTGTTTCCGTGCTGATGCGCTCTCCCTTTTCATTGACCCAGACGACTACCTCTTTGGTATAAGCTGGTTGTGCGACATCTCCACGAGATTGCTTCTCGACTATCGCCAATCAGTAAAATCCCATATAAGCATGAGATTATTCGAACAATACGTTCTTACCCCCAGCGTCGGCGCAAACACCACATGCAAGTAGCAAGCCAACAAGCACCTCAGTAAGGCGCTTCATTTTCCAGCTGAGTTCTCCCGAGGGAAACTGATCTGTAAAATCTCGACTGAAGTAATCCAAACTTAGTCTCTGAACTTAGTCGACGGCGATCACAACAAGAGTGGCTTTGCAAACATCTAGAAAAGGAAACTCACAGACATGGTGCCGATCGGATCCATTATAACCATGCTACCGGCGTCGAGCATGGAATTCCACCTATGTGGACCTGATTAGCAGAACGTGTAAACATGAGGATAGCCAAGCATAGCACCTCGATCTGGGGAGATGTGGAATGGAATCAGGGAGCTTCTAAGATTTCAAACATGCCGTGGCTTGGTTGAAGGCCCTCTGGCATCTGATTTAGACGAAGAGATCTTAGTTTCGGGGCATCCCATACAAGATCTCGAGGTCGGCGATAGACCGAAAATGCGCGTAACGATGAAGTCGATGGAATGCGGGGCGCATTCCCGGGGATTGCTCAGAGACACAGTGGGATTTGGTGAATGTGAGACAGAATGCTGGAAAGAACTTATTTGATATTATTGAGAGACCTTGGAAGGGGGTCAAAGAAAGGGGGGGGGTTGGACCTAGAGTCTGGCCCCAAGATATTGGCGGCCTGCTGGCGAGGTCCAGGGCCATGAAATAATCAGCGAAGTGACGCTTTGACTTCAAGTATTTAATATCTGACTAGCAGGGATTCAAAGTTGTAGTTGTGGATACTACTACGGTGAGAGAGCAAAAGCAGAGGATTGGAGCACGAAGCATTACCTCCATTCATGGGTTGAAAAATGGTTCAAGTGTGAATAATGTATGGAAAATTGGACAAATCCTTGAAGCAAAGAACCAAGGGTAGAAAGACAGTATTAAACAACTTAAAACCATGCACAGGTATAGAATCATACCGCCAACGGAAAAAGAAAAGGGCGGGCCTGTGCAAGGCATGCAGTAAGAATGTACATCGACAAGGTAACAATGGAAGTATTGAAGGGGCATTAGGGCGTAGGTCGACTGAGGAGAACGGGAAATCGATAGATGCCGAGGTCATATGGGCGTGAGCAGTGATCGGATTGTGTGGTCAGGACCAGAAGCTAAGAGGCAAAGACATTACTTCCTCTTGCTCATCACCTTGGTAATGGCATGGCGAATGATTGTTCCTGCCTTTTCAATCTCCTTCTTGGTGAGACCAGTAGTGACGCACACCTTCAGGGCTGGCAGGACAATCTGCTTGGGCTCGAAGTTGTCCTCGAGGGTCTTCAGCCGCGTGATTAGAACACCGTTGGCGAGGGACTACAAGATCGTTAGAAATGGTCTTCAAAATGGTTAAAATGGAAGGAAATGTAAAACATACCTCATCGACGGCATCTTGAAGCAAGAACTGCTGGTCGTCTGGTGTAAGTCGCTTGGCAGCCACAACCTCCGGCTTGATGGCCAGGATGAGAATGGGGTTTTCGGGCGCGCTGGTGCAGTAAACCCAATCACTCCGGGGATCCAACTGAGCCCGCATGGCTTTAGTGTGTTCCCGAAGTTGTGCCACTGTGTCAGGGTTGTTCTGAAGGATGTTGATAGTGGCACTGGCGGTGGTCGAGAGCAAGGCGGGGAGTGCGGCGGAGAAGGTGTAAGCAGCGGCGGAAATACGCTGGTGGTGAACGATCTCCTCTGAACCAGCACAGAAGCCACCTCCAGCAACGAGGGGCCCAGCCAGTGACCCCACAATCATATCAACCTCGGCAGCATCGACGTTCTGGTGCTCCGTGATGCCCCGGCCAGTGCGTCCCAAAACACCGAAGGACCAGGTTTCATCAAGGATCAGACGGAACTTGTACTTGAGTCTGAGTTCAATCTGTGACAGTTGTAAGCGAGACGAATTCATAATTCAATTTAACGGGATCACATACGATCTTGGGCAAGTCCGCCATGTCCCCATAAGACTCAAACAGACCCTCTGTGATAATGAATCTGCGAGTCAAGGGCTTCCGGGCTTGCTCCTTGGTGACCTTCGCGAGCACTCTCTCCAAATCCTCCATATCGTTATGCTCATACCACCGCACAATGCTTCGAGATATCTGAATACCCTTGCGAATGGCAAAGCTAACCCCTTTATCCGCGACGATAATGTCTCCACGCTTCGAGAAGGCAGGAATAACACTAGAAATGGTCGAGAAAGCCTGAGAGTAGATGATGCAAGCCGCGGTCCCCAAGAAGGACGCGACATCATCTTCTGTCTTCATGTGAACATCCTGTGTGCCGTAAAATCCACGGGGTCCGCAAGGACCCACTCCATAAGCGCGGAGAGTCTGAATTGCCTGTTCCTTGAGGGACTCATTCGTATTGAAGTTGTAAAAATTCAAGGAGCCGAGGTTTGTAACAGTTCGGCCGTTCGCCAGCTTGGATTTTGGGCCTACAGGGCTGGAGATCACAGTTTAATCCGTCAGTAAAATGTCCGCGGAGTAAGATTAGGCAGAAGCAATGGGTACGATACCCAACAATCACGGTTCTCTTATCAACTTCCATCTGTTCCAAGGTTGTCGGGGTCCCGACGAGGGGTTCTGGCGTCCATTCATCCACGAGGTCATCAATCTCATCTTCCGTGAGTGATACAACGCCCGGTTTGGTCGAATACTTGGGCGCTAGCAGATATCGGACGGCGAAGAGGAAGAGGAAAAGTTCGACGGCAGAACGAATTGGGTCATCTTGGTAGCTGGATTTCACGTAGCGGAGGAAGATTGCGGAGCCAGGCACACGGTGAAATAGATCCGCGAGTTCGTGCAGATATTCAGAAAGAATACGCTGGGTCTCCTGGAGATCCATGGCGGAGGGTTGGAGAGGGCGCAAGTTGTATGGTACGCCAGGCCAGTGAGATACCGGAGATGCGATAGGTTAAAAGGGGGCGATAAAGACAGGTGCTTGCGCGTGGAGGACGGAGTGAAGATGAAACGGGAGGCTCGGAGTCCTAGGAACCTCCGTGCCACGTGACCTTCGTACTGTTATGTGCGTTGCACAATCTAATTTTAAATTAGTGGATTACGAATTGGTTTCGTGTCTTAAGAGAGTTTCTCGAAAGCAATGCAATTTAATTCCGGTAGAAGTGTAAAATAAAACAAGCAAAGAAAGCTGGAAAAAACGAAGGTGAACCCCCGAGGATGACCCTGGAAGACCCCTTCATACAAGCGTCATTCCACAAACAATATTTGGAAGCAACCATTCATTAAGATCAAATTGTGCGCCGGTGAGTTCAGAAAAATGCAGCGAATTTTAATAGACGCATAACTTTGTACAAAGCATTTCCATGTCGTTTCGCAGAAGCGATTAAATGGACCATACTCCGGTGCCCTCGGAGGCTGCTGGGACGGTGCCTGAGGTGTAGCCCTTGGGGATGTTAGAACCGGTGTACCAGGAGACAGTGTCATTGAGTCCATGGTCAAGCGGTTGTAGGAGACCAACTGCATTGGCCTTGGAGACACCGAGGCTGTTCCAGAGGTCCTTGCTGAGAATGCTATCCAATGATCCCGTGTTCCGCAGGACGACAGGCGCAGCGATAATGACGATAAAGATCAGGAGCATGGCAAAGTAGAGAATAGCGAAGCGGACCACGCGTCTCTTCCGAAGCTTAGACTGCTTAAGAGAATAGATAGGAGGGCGGATTTGGGAGCTAAAAGCAGGGGTGGTGAGTAACGAGACATTTTGATGTGGGGACGGGAGATACATACCTTGGGCGCAGCCAAAACAGGATGACCGAATGGAAGGTATCGACATAGGGAATGGCAAGGGCCGGGAGCATGGCAAACAGCAGAATATGGCCAAGGAAGAAATCGTTGGCGAAATAACCGAGTTCGGTGATCTTGCACAGGAATTCACGTCCAGGCTGAGAAAGGGAGTGCCATCCCATGTTATACCATTTTCCGGTCCACCATGCAATATTAGACTGATCGTTTTTGAATTCACGAGTCAATGCTAGGGAAATAATGAGCTTGTAGATGAAGCGCTGAAGAGCCATTGCAGCGATCATTCCAGAGATGGTGCGAGCCCAGCTGAGGGACTCAAGGAAGAACATGGCCAGGAAGAGGAGCAGGAATACAATGACCGCAATGGCATGAGCGATAGCGGCGAGGACAGCACCGAACTTCTTGCAGCACATGCCAAACAACGGACCCATACAACAAGCCATGCCGAAGAACATGCCCGCCACACCAGCATTCACACCCACGGGAGCGAAAGCGACAATAGCAACACGGAGGATGGGGTTCGCAGCCCATTTGACGTCATCGGAGTACATTGTCCGGGAGTTGATATACAAGTACGGAATCAGTGTGGCACCAACACCCAGCAGGGGGAAATGATTTCGCTGAAGAAGATGTTGGTGATGCGAGCTCTGGGGACATCACCGGAGCCTTTCTCCGATGGCACACCGAGGAGTTTGCGCTTGTAACCAGTAATGCGAGTACGGGAAAGACGACAGAAGCCAATCCAAGAGGAAGCATGGGATCGGGAGTTACCGCGAGAAAGCCAGCGGATATAGTCGCGGTAATCGATGAAGAAGTCGGTCCAGGCAAACTGGTGAGGGTTGAACAGGAAGGGCGAGATACACAGTGCGAGTAGAGAAACCCAGAACCAGATCAGAGCGGGGGTCCAGACCGTAGTGGTACTGAACAACAGCATCAGCAAGAGGCGGGCACCCAAGTAAATTGAAGGGCCGGCAAAACGCGAGTAGAGCACACCGAAGGGGGATGCGAGCCGTTGCGAAACCACGGCCAGTACCAATGTAACGTGCACCTCCGAAAGACAAATTCTGGTGCACGGCGTTGGCGTAGATCTGACAGACGAACACCTCGAACATGAACGAGAACGAACCAAAGTGCTTGGCCAAACGGGTAGCCATGCGCCACACTCCTCTCTCTGTCAGCTCTTGGACGGCAAGAGGAACAAATGAGATGAAGAACACAATGAAAATGGAGATAACACAGCGGTTGACCCAGTTAAGAATTGGGATCAGGTTCGCGCAAAGAGTGGGCACAAGAGGATCGGTAATGGGCAAGTCGGAGTTGTAACGGCACATGATGGTCTCATGCTTCAAGGCACCGAGGTTGATCAGGACAAACATGAACATCTGCACAGAAAGCATAATGAACATGTTGTTCAGATGGAAACCAGGGTGAGCATAGTAGAATGAGAGGAAGCGATCAAGGGGCAGCTGGGTACCGAGGTAGTAGTACTCTCGGGAGAGCATCTGTTCACCCATACCAGTACCAATCTTCGTAGTGAAGTTCAGAATAGATCCGAAACCGAGATCACGACCCTTACCACACTGATAATATTCACAATGCTTGATACGACCTCCACGCAGGACGGCATTCATACCAGCGTAAATATCCTCGTTCAGGTGCAGTCCTTTCTGGGCTTTGGAAACACCGCCACGAGTGGTCATGAAAGTAGCGTTGAGGAAATCAGGGTGACCATAGTGCAGCTTACCACCGACTTGAGCGAGTGTACGAGCGAAGAGAGTACCGAACGTTTGTTCCTTGGAGGCGGCAACATCACCAAGCATACCCACGCTCTCGGAGAAAATGTATTCACGGGCTCCCAGGATAGCAACGGGGTCCTCCTCAGGCGAGGCAATTCCAGGGGTGTAGGGAGAAACATTGTCGGTAGTCAGTTCCTCGAACTCAGCCAGGACACTGCGAATCTTCAAACACTCTTCAAGGTAGTTGTCTTGGTTGGCGTCGATGAGCTGGATGTATTCACCACGGTAGAAGATGATGGCATGGTTCTGGTTGTCAGACTTTCCGTCACCGAGAATCGGGTTTCCGGAAAGCTGGATTCTGAACTTGGGCTTGCGCAGGTTGTTATCCAAGAGTTCACAGTGACCATCGATCAGGGCCGAGTAGAGGCGGGGTTCATCGCCCTCATTGACAGGTGGCTCCTCATCCAGGTATGCAATCTGCAAGTCGGGGTAAGCGCGGAGCAGGAATTCAGTGTTCTCGCGTTCATCCTTGTTGAACTTGGCATAACGCTGCATCGAGACGCAAATGCGGAACTTGCGGCGAGCCATGCGTTCGAGCTCACGCTCAAGCTTCTCGGAGTTTCCTCCAAACATCTGCACAACCTCGGGGTTCTCAACACGGTAAAGCAACTTGATAGCACGACTGTAGTTCATGAAACCAGACACAGTCCTGTACAAGGTCTGAGATCGAAGGGAGGCCCAGATTCTTGTGCGGAGGGTGTATTCGGGAGCGGCAGACTTGAAACCAATGCAGTAGAAAGGAAGATCGTCCACCTTGCTCTTGGCGGCATCTTTCTCGGGCTTCTCATAATCACCGTTGAACTGCGAAGTCTCGTCTGCCAGAATCTTGGTATCCTTGACGAAGCAATCCCATTCGTGGGGGTGCAGTTGCTTGAGGTATTCAAGCAAAGTGACACGTGAGTAAGGCTCATCTTCGCGGATAATCTCACGGAGCGAGAGCAGGATCTTTTCACTGTAGTGGGGAACCAGGACGGTGAAGGTGGGCATGTTGTCAACAGGTAGAGGCTCGGGCATCGGTGTGGAGAGCGATTGCGCGAAGAACGAGATACGGCGCTCTGCCTCACTTCCCTGGGGGAAGAACTCAGTCTTGAAAGACTGATCTTCCTGTGAGACGAAGAAGGTCGGGGCGCGGAGGGTGCGCTTGCCTTCCTGCTCAGAGGGAACCTGGTGGTACAACAGCTTTTGCACGTGGTCGATAGCCAGAAGGTGTTCACGGTACATCGAAATGATAATAGCATTCCAAACCTGTGAGATCAAGACCTTGGGCTTGTACTTGATCTCCATGTCTGTCGTGGCGAGGACCTTGGAGTAAATACGCTTGGGAAGTCGAGAGAAAATGTTCCTCCATGGTGACCAAATGGACACACCCAAGTAGAATGATCGAGCCACCGAGAAGATTGTGTTGCAGATAATGTACCACAGGTAACTATCCAGGAAGAAGAGTGTCAAGTCCATGAAAGCCATCAGGCCCAGCAGAATTTGAGGCTGTCGGTGGCAAAGGGTGTTGCCGATGTATTTCGCGCCAGTACACTGGTGGATTTGCATTGGAGACAGGATGCGAATGGGATCCTTGAAAGAGAGCGTCAAGAAGAAGTAGGACTCTGCCAACTTGGCACCGAACACACAGACCCAAAGACCATAGGACATCCACATGTCGTTACCAGAAAGACGGGGGAAACTAGCTGTGAAGGTCTGACTGGCAACATATTGTCGCCCACCTTTCTTCATGTAGTTGCCAAACAAGGCACCCAAGGGCTGGATTGCAAAGAACGCAGCAGTCAAGATCGCAATGACAAAGTGCACAATACCAAGAGCGAGGCCAATGCCGTGTTCGGTTGAATCGCCCAATTTCAGCCCTGGCAAGATGCTGAAAATAACGATACCAGGGGCGAGATTGATAACAAACATGATGATGAGGAACATAAAGCGCTTTCGGAGGTGCTGCGCTCCGGCCCACCTACGGGGAACGTACATCCATTCGAAAATGGTGGCCAAAATCTGAATGAAGGAGACAAGTGCACCACCGAAACCAACGGCAGCCAGGTACTTGGGCGTGCTTGGCTTGTTGTCAACCTGCTGCTGGTAGTTGATGGTATACAGAGTCGGGGCGTTGTAAGCAGTGAAGAACCAGAAGGAACCCAGGTGGATAACCCAAATACGGTTGAAGTTCGTGATCATGTGGAACCAGGAGCGAGTTTCCTTGTAGGTCTTGAAGAAGGCCTTCTTCCAGACAACGTCCTTCAACTTGGGCCATCTCTCGCCGATGGGAACATCGACTAGGCGAGTCTTATCCTCGAACGCGATGCGCTCAATACCCTCTGGGTACCAGAACAGCTGGTTCATATCATCATAACCAATGATCTTATTGTGATCATGCTCACGACGAACGTACTTGCCGTCCATGATTTCGTACCCCTGGTCTCGACAGTATTGGTAGAGAGGAGTGATGATCTCGTTGAGGTAGGTGAATTCCTCCACCGGCTCAACGCGAGCCTGGCATTCCGGCGAGGTATAGTAATCATCGGCACACTTGAAGATGAAACAGATGCACTCCGGCAGGAATCGGACCTGGTTGGCTTCACCCCAAATCAAAAGATACAGGGCAATTTGACGGGCGCGGTCATGCTGGGACATGCGGTTCATGCGAGATTTCCACCGGTATTCGGCTGCCTCCAAACTGTTGTCTCCCTCGAGAGCCTCCAGGGTTTCCTCTTCGTTCTCCGGGTTCTTTTTCGCGGCCTTGGCTGCAGCTCTGCGGGCTTTCCGCGTCTTCCGATCGCCCTTACCGAGCTTCATGTTGGCAAAACCAACTGCATCATCGAGATCGAGATGAGCAGCGAAATACCAGCGGCGGTAATTGGCGTTGTGGCCACCGATGTAGTCGGCATGGACGGAGAGAAGTGCCTGGTTTGGCGTCATACGCGAGGCACGAGAGTCCAGCATAGTCATCATGTGATCATACATGTTTCGCATGCTGTCTCGCTGGAAACCGAACTTGTTCACCAAATCCAGGAAGATATCCTCGAGCTCCTCCTTCGAGAGAGGGATCTGGGCGTCAGATGTCCACGCAGGGTAAGGCTCACGAGAACGCTGGCCGGCGGGAAGAGCGTTGCCGTAGTCCATTCCGTAGACAGGAGTCGAAGCACCAGACGATCGGTTTCCTCCGTAGGAGATTTGGGACGAAGGAGGACGGTAGCCACCACCACCGGGCCCTCCGTACTGACTGTCCGAGTAGCTGTTGTACCGTTCGTCTCCACGGCCATAGTAGTCCATGTCCGCAGCACGAGCAGTCTCGGACCTCATCGTGAAATCGCTGAAGGTCTCCGAATCCTCCTCAGAATCATGGCCACGACGGCCGCGTGGTTGGCCTTGTCCCTGGTCGTAGTACTGATCGCCCCCGGCTCCGGCGGCGCCGTAGTACTGATCTTGGTGTCCGGCCTCGTAATATCCTCCGTCAGCGTAACCGTGGCCGGCATCCGCGTGGGCGGCGTCGGCGCCGTGGCCACCATCCGCTCCGTAGTAGCCATTACTGTTCTTGCTGTCAGCCCTTCCATCACCCAAATCTTTCTATCCTGGATTATCATACCCTTGGTCGTAATAACCATCACCGTATCCTTGGTTGTCGTAATAACCCTGGGCATGTTCGTCCTGGTAGTAGGAGTCACCATGAGGTTGACCATGTGCCTGCCCCTGCTGGGCATAGCCATCGTCATAGTGGCCTCCGCCTGCGTAGCCCGACATGACGAGCGAGTCGCGATCGATCTAGTGCTAAGAGCTCTGCGGATGGGATCAGCTCCAGATGTCCGAGACTTATGATGCAAACCAGCTCCAACGAATCTCACCTCAACTGTGACCATTCAAAGTATTATTGTTTTTGTTCGGGATGTCGAATTAATGCAGCATGGACGTTGAAAGATGAAAGCCAGATGCGCAGGAATGAAATGCGTTAACTTGAGTACCCAAGTGAAGGTGTCGAACGAGTCTCAGACTCCGTAACGAATGGCAAGTGAGGGTTTCCCTATCTCACGAAAAGGAAGGTGCAATGGGAATATCTTAAGAGCAAAACAACCTTCCTTCTATCCTTCTTTCGTCAAAAAGAAAGAACACGAAAGGTAGCAAATAGAAGGAAAGATGGAGACAAAAAGCGAATGGAAGGGGGTTGGAAAGGGAAGACAAGAAAATGCTTGTTATTTTTGGGATTCGGGGGGTTGCTCGTCGTGTTGTCTCCAGAGTAATTTACCGTCTTACCGTCGTCTTACGCTCATAGAGGGTACGTGTCAGACTTCCAGGTACTGAATACCTCTTCCCAGTATGGTTAGCCCCTATGTTTCCCAGGTACTGATTACGACCCCTTTGTTTACCATACGTGGCGCATTGAGTTTAGCCCATTGACTCTCCTCTTCCCTCTCTCCCAGCCTTGTATGTGGTATTCTTCCCAACGCCTCCTCTATCTCTCCCTGATCGTCCATTTTGAAATTACCGTTATTGTCCGACAGTATTTACGTTTGTATTTCCCCCGATCACTTCTTCCAATCTCCCCTTTCTCTATCCAATGATAATCTCCCACGGACACTCGGAATCCAAGGGAGTCTCGACGGCCCCTGAAACTTGCCCCACTGTAACCAGCCAACATGTAATCAGGTAACAAATAATGCGGCCGGCTATTTTCAGAGATACCAGATTATGGAACCTGCTGTTCCAAAAATGGTTGTTGATTCGATGGCTTTGTTATGGTGACCAACTTGGTATGTAGGGATGGCGTTGCACCGAGACTGATTTTCATTCCAATGTATACATACTCCGTACATTTCTAGACTTGATTTTTTTAACTTTGGGGTTTCCAACAAATGTATGATTCATGGGATGGTGCGTACATTGTACTCCGTACTCCGTACCCTTATCTATTTGCTTATGTGGCGGGTTGTTTCTAATTTCAAATGGAATATGTGACTAGTATCAACTCAACCATGAGAACATTGAGACCATTATAATTTGAACCAAATGATAGTTTACATTCCGTACATATGCACATGTACCTAATTATTCTCTTAAATCTGATTCGCCGGTCGAATAAAATTAAATATCAACTTGAGCTCAGACCCGTGGACGATTGGTCACCGACGTGTTCTCAGTTCCTGTTCCATGGCTCCCAAGCGACAAGAACCACGCCTTTACTTTCCACACTCTCCAGGGTTACCGGATACTCTTGATATTTGATATATTGATCTCCACGATCTTCAATTCCTATTGCTCCTTTCATCCTGGTTTGAATTCATCATAGACTTTTTTTTTTTACTCTGTTTTAGCGTTTGAGCGGCTGATTTGCCACCGCAATACAAGTGTCTCAGATGTAGTCGATCAGTTCCATATGTAATACATTTGACTTTCCACTGCCGGTTATTCTCACTGTGGCGGGCAAGCCACCCATATACGAAGTACGAAGTAGTATACTCCATACGGAGTACACCGTACATCGTACAATATAGTGGATTGTATCGCACAGTGGACACTGTATCACGAGAAAACCTGGAAGTCTTCCACAGCCACAAACCGAACTCGCTAAATAACCTTGAAAACTCAATCGTCATAGTCTATATTTATCTTTCCATCTCTCAGCCGATATTTAATTGGGGTGGTTACCCAGAATCCAATGAACAGATATATATTCTCATGAACATCATTAATTACATATCAACACCGACCACAAATTAAATATTCACAACTTGAACTCTGTATGAATGAATGTATCTGAATACACCAGCTGGTACTGTGTATACATACAGAGCTAGTAACTCTGTATTCGAAAATGATCTCCACCGTTAGACGCAATTTCATCTTGTCCACACACACTAAGTGGATCACCGATTGCCTTTTCTTAATTCTTTCGGAGAGCCTCGACCAAGAGGCCTGCCTACCTACAATATTGTATGCAATGATGAAGCTACCAGCGCAATCAAGACGATGCTTATCGGGTATGCCGTGGCACCTTGTAGCGGTTAAAATATATACATACATCGCGGACTGCAGCATTATTAGTTTGCAACCGGGTACTTATACCTTGTACACCCTGATACCGGCGGATGCAGCATTGCGCAGGAACGACACATCAGCTGCATGAAGGAAACCGATCTTCGGCATCTGATATTCGTTTTTCCTCCTGTGGATTTTCACAAGCTATCCACCTTACTCCGTACTGGGGGGCCTTTATTGGCACTATCATGAGTTATAAGCTGGCATCTCGAACAGAGTATTGTACTATCTAATGCAGTGCACCAAAAATAACCTGTCGACGGAGAGATTGGTCTTAAAGGGCCTAGTCAGCGATCACTAGCCGGCAGGCGTACCCTAGTGTCGCACATTTATTGTACAAATATTGCTACGTATTGACCGGCCACATTTTAATACATACTCCGTACACTAGCACAACACCCGAGAAGTGTGGCTAAATATTTAACACAGATGGTCATAATTATTTATGAAGACAGCGTGCCCCTTCTATCCGTTAAAGAAAATGGCTGGCTTGCACCTAGGGGAAGTGCGGGCGTTGATGGCTGGCATTAGTGTTTCTAGAAACCCATACAAGCTCTTCCATGATTATTTTTGGCTCCAGCCCCTGAATAGAGCGTTTACATACAACGTTAGCACCGGCTCCCCACGGAAGGATTTCAATCTCCAGCTTACCATTGATTATCAAGGCGCGTTTGCTGATTACATATCCATAGAAGCTGATCGCAAGACCTTGAGTTCTGATTTGATTTTAAGTAATTAGGGGGCTGTGACCCCCAGACGGCCCCCTCCACCGTCCATCTACTCCGTATCTGCGTCATGATTGGAAGCCAATCCCAACCCCTGTTTTTGAGGTTGTAGTTGTGCCCATACAACCTCCGGAGTACAGGGCACTAAAAAGGGTCCGAGTCGTGATATGCTGATGTTATTATAATAATTTCTGTTTGAAAGGACTTGGCGCACCATATGATTTGTACATTGTATATGTACTGCATACGGAATAATTGAATCAACATATACGTATTATCGTAGCCAATTAAACCTAGGAAAGCCATGGGTTCACATAAACAACCGGATTTCCCGCCATTTTGAATGAGCAGTGTGGTGTTATATTTTTGCGGCATATAGGCAGATAGATATAAAGCTTTGGTGTTTTCCTCGGATAATAGTTATATACCAATAATGGCAATCTTGCTCACAACATATATATATATCTGTACCAACTATTAGTACTAAAGGATTGAATCACATCCATATATGCTCTATCCCTAATAATGAAATATGTTCATCAAACGCTAATTGTTGCTTAAATATTGATTTTCTTTGGTTTTGTTTCTTTGTGACGTTTTCGCTGGCAATTAGATAACATGAGCCTACAGTTACTCCGCAGAGCGTTGCGCGAATAACATGTTCCAGTACAGCGTATATTACTTCACCTCTTCCTTCTATGATACCCTCTTTCCCTATATATCTCTGCAATATATTTATTAAGACCAGCAGAGCAAATCCACCTAATGACTCTAGGTAGCCATGTTTCGTATAGAGGGCTCACTCTGTTCATTATTAACTTGTCTCGTTTTTATTTTAAAACCCTCAAGACCATATCATTTGCGCCAAACTTCCATTCAAGCCATTTGGCATAAATAATTAAGGTGAACAACAGATTATGTACTGTATAAATCCAGCTCGAGTCAGGAATGTTCACCAGTGATACTAAGGCCCTCTACAGATACAGGGACGATTGATATAACCTCTCGCCAATCATAGATTTTATCCGGATCTCTAGTGAATATACTCAGATCAGATTCCAGATTTGCGTAACGAGCAAAGCAGACAATCTCCACTGTGTATTTTCTGGAGGCAAGGGGATGCCGATCCTCATCGAAATAGCGATGGAATGGTCCCGATCAACGTCCCTCACGAAAGTGTTGATCCAAGGGTCAATCCAACTTCCGCTGTAAGCCACGCGGTACAATGTAGCGCCTCTATTTAGACCGGCATGCTTCGGAAGTTCATCATTCCGTGAGGCTGTACGGCTACGTTGCCAGGAACAAACAGTACCTGCAGCAAGGAGGTCCAGCCTAACGGTGCTTGAGACCGATCTCCGCGGCTCTATTCATGCATTATTCTCGCATTAGACAGTCTCTGTGCTTCGTGCGTTTTTTGTGCTGATTATGATAGGGCATCGTCGAGCTGTAGTTGGCTTGTCGTTGTTTCCCCCTTCTCCCCTCTTCCTGGTCTGGTGTCTATGTGTACCTGCAAGTCACCTGTCTTTATTAAATAGTGTTATTTACCTACAACATAGTGTAGGTGTTTGGTGTGCCCCCTTGTCTCTAGTACTAGATTTCCACCCATCTAGGATTGCTGCTAGGGCCTTATATATAAAAACGGTAGTTGATGTTCGTTCCTCTTTTTAATGACGCTGAAGATTATCTACATATAGCGCATTGAGTATTCAAATTGAGGGTCACGGGCCCTACAATGGCTAGTATTGATATTGGCAGAGCTTTTTGGAATTATTGATTCTACATGTGAGTGGGCGGAACATAACTATACCTTCGTACATATAGGTTCTACACGCAGTGCAGCTTCATCCATTGTATATTTGTGTCATGGGTGTTGTCCCTAGGCTCACAGTATATAACTTAATTCAGAGCAGTATATGGATGAGATCTTTATAAGTTAGTATACTAGTATTCTAGGTTGGTTTATTATTTGTTATATGTTTTTCTTATTTGTATAGTGCCTACTGTCATGTATATATGCCGCCACATTTGCGCCCGATACGGAATATATAACCACAACTTAATAACAATCATAATTCTCCTCTTCTTCGCATTGCAATAAGTTTTAGATTATTTTCCACGCATATCTCTACCAATAAAATGTAATATCATGCTGCACACAACATTGGAATTATTTAGGACATCGGAGCCTGAAGTGTTCCATATAATGCAGCAAATACGGTAGGATCACCATAAGAATACCATATGACTGAACTAATGCACTAAATTCCACAAAGTAGGCCAACTGAACTCCTGCATAGTGTAATCGACAAGTGGTTCTAACCTGGACCTCATCGGAGCAGCCCTAGAGAGGTCTGTCAACCTTGGAATACTCGAGAAGTCCCAACGTTGGGAGGTCCACAGGTAGGGCTATGAGAATGTTTTATTTTCTTACATCCAGTGCACTAGAGCTGGTTCATAATACATCGAATAGTGAATCCTTTACAACAACAGCCTGTACTACGACCTGCAAGATTAGATATTAACGTGTGATTGAGGTGGCACATGGAGTTGCGGGTTGCTCACGGTTGCCGTGCCAACGCATCCGTTGACAGCTCAACAGCCGGAGCAACATGGAACCAACCTTAAAGGAACAACGAAAACCATCGGGGCCTCCAGGACTGACGTGGTCAGCGCAGAAGCAGTGTCCCATCTCATTTAGAGAGACTGTCATCATCACCACCAGCGCCCATAAGGTCTCATTGATGGATTAAAAATCACGGGATTGTGTATTGCAATTAAACGACATCGCGACCATGGCAAGGATCAACACAGCAAACCCCCTGGTCAAAAACACACCTCACAAGGAGGCCACCCAGCGCAACATAGGAACATCCCAAAACAATCCACTGCCTAGAGAGCCATGTTTCAATTTCAGAAACACACCCAAGCACAATATGCTCATTAAGCCCCAAAGCCAGTCACGACGGCAGGCAAATGGCTCAAGTGGGTCGTTTGATATATTGCCCGACAGCGATTCGGCATCGGAAAGTGAATGTGGACATCACAGGTCTACCGGAAAGCAGCAAAAGCAAAGAACACTGGGACTCGCACGTGTGAACTCCTTACTCCTGCCAGCGAAGCGGGAGACCGCGTCCAGCCATCCGAAGAGAGACTGAAGATTACGACAAGGAGAACGACGTGCCAGAATATGCTACGGATGGATATCGAACTCCAGATTTAACACCAACAAGGCCGAATGCCTCACAGCCTTCAAGAAACAGAATGGATTACACCGCCGCAACACAGCCAGTGAATAACCACCAAGAAGAACAAGAGGAGCTTGGAATTAGCTCTGAAGAAGAAGATAGTTCTGACTCACTAGATGGGTTCATTGTCAGTGACAATGATGAGCTTAGCTCCTATGAGACATCGGATTCTGAGACACCCGGCACAGAAGACGAACCTAGCCCGGCTCCATCACCTGTCAGGTCACCAAGAAAGAGACTCATGCGTGGGAGAAGACCGATATCAGAAGCGGAATCAAACACCGCTGCGGATGACGAACCATCAATGGAACCGACGGAGGCGGTGATAGAGCTGAACCGATCAACTGAGAAACCAAAGGCAGTCGCCTCAACACCTGAAGAGTGCACACCAAATCTTGCAACCAGATTCAAATCTACATCCCCTGCCCGTAAGGTGGAGGTACCCAACCCACATTTTGATTCAAACTATCCTCTCTATTTCGGCCTCCACAACACCAACGACCTCATCCAGCACCTTGAGGATCTTGACCTGGACAGCGACAATGAATCTACATCGCAAACACAGCCGGAACGTTCCAAGTAAGTACGCGCGGGACCCGCATTAATGTGCCCTTCTAGACCCCCAGCAGTAACCCGTACTAACTACTTCTCACAGCTCAGAATCAGAGAATGAACTGCCATCGAAACTATATCCAAGTCACAAAAGCCTACCGCCAGTGACACCGTCACACGCGAAATCTCACATTTCCCTCAATCGCACCCTCAAATCGGTTGACAGGTCGCCGGGAATGGGTACTCCTATGACATTAAAGGCCAAGAAACAGGCCGAGGCGGCGCGGAAACGCGAGATCCGAGCCCAAATTGCCGAATTCAACCAAAGGAAGATCGGCTTTGCCGAAGAGTTCCTCCAGCACCTTGAAACTGCCTTCGATAACCAGATTACTCGCATGACCGAGGAAACCGGCGGCATCAAGATCATTTGGACGAAGAATTTCAGAAACACCGCTGGCCGAGCAACCGTACGTTCAGACAGAAGAGAAGCCGGCGTAGACGGACCCGGGAAACGGCGTCACCATGCCACCATTGAGCTCTCCGAGAAAGTCCTAGACACCGAAGACAAGATCCTCTGCACGCTGACACACGAGTACTGCCATCTCCTCGATATCTTGCTCACTAGAAACATAGCCAAGGGAACGGCCCAGCATGGTGCCAGCTTCAAGCAATGGGGTGACCGATGCGTCCGCGCACTGGAAGACCATCCCATCTATGGGGGCCGGGTTAAGGTCACGACTAAGCATACTTACGAAATCAACCACAAATACATCTGGGCCTGCAAGGCCCAGGATTGCGATTTCAAGGTCGGGAGACACTCGAAGAGTGTTGATCCAAAGCGTCAGTTCTGTGGCCGCTGCAGGGGTGTTCTCGAGCAGATCCAGCCGGTGCCTAGGGCTGTGATGCCTAGGAGGCCTGTTGCGAAGGTGATTGTTGCAGATGAGCAGAAGGAGATTGTGGTCATTGATCCTTGATATCTAATGGACCGGTTATGCTTGTAACTATCTGAGTATGACCAGTGAGGTTATCAATCAGCACAATGTAACGAATATATGAGTTTCTGACTATTTATTGAATTTTCTGGGATAATTTCCAGGTAACTAGGTGCTTCTTGTGAAGTAAACCACTTAGAATTGTTGGTCCCGCCTAGTGTGATTTCAAATCAATTAATTAAACCTGCAGTCCAACACACTACGATAGAAACAGATCGAACCTGAAGAATTTCAACAGTGAATATGTAAAGATCGATTCTTCACAACGGTTACCATATTTGGGTTAACCTCCACCAGTGGCGCGGTGGCCAGCTCGGCATTGATGCCTCAAGCTTACGCTGCCGACCAATCAGACCAAGCCAGGCTTCTAAGTTGTCCGCTTTGGGTTTAGTCTCCGCAAAGCTTCCATAGCATAGTTATCAGGATATTGAATGCGATGGCGAGTCCGAATTTTGAAGGCTATATAAATAGGAGTCTTTCTGGTTGGAAAGAATCGTAGAAACACTCATTATTCCTTGTCATATTCTCGTACCTCGACCCAATCCCCATAATGGCTTTTGGATACAAGAAAGTCCTGATCATCGGTGCCACCTCCGGGATTGGCAAAACTCTGGCCGACAAAGTTGTCCAGAATGGATCAAAATTAATTGTCGCCGGTCGCAGAAAGGAGAACCTTAACGAGATCGTCCAGCGATATGGCACTGACAAGGTCTCTGCAAAGGCATTTGACGTCATGCAGCTCGAGCAGGTAAGGTCACCCATGCCAAGCGAGATATGTCCCCAACTAACGTCCAACGAAAACAAAGATCCCACAATTTGCCTCAGAGATCATCTCGGAGAACTCCGATCTGGACTGTATCTTCGTCAACTCGGGTATCCAACGACCTTTCGACTTCTCTAAGCCGGAGACCGTTGATTTGGACATTTTCGACCAAGAACTGATCACGAACTATACATCCGCGGTCCGCATAACCAAAGCATTCCTCCCACACTTGCAGAGCCAGAAGACCGCAACAGCTATCGCATTCACGACGTCGCAAATGGCGCTCGTGCCCATGATGCGATGCCCGAATTACGGCGCTTCCAAGGCTGCTCTGCACCATTTCATTCTTGCTCTCCGCACTCAGCTGCAGGATGGTCCTGGGGATGTGAAGGTTTTGGAGATTTATCCCCCGGCTGTGCAGACTGAGCTTCATGATGCTAAACATCAGCCTGATTTGAAGGATGGACATTTGATTGGGATGCCATTGCAGGAGTTTGTTGATGAAGTTTGGAATCGGATCTCAGAGGGCGAGGATCAGATCCCTGTAGGGTCTGCGAGGGACATTTACAATGCGTTTGAGGTTAAGAGGCAGGAGTTGTATCGGGACATGACGGAGTTGCTTTCTGGGTTGTTGAAGCAGTTTTTGAGGTAGGAGCTTTGATGGTTTAGATGCATATAAAGATTAGATCAATATAGATATGGGACTCACGTTGTATCATCTTCCTTAGCTGTCAATGTAGGAGTTCACAGGCGGAGATGGAATTGAGGAGACAGCTTGTCCTTTACAAGCAGCCAGTATCAACCCACTGAAACAAGAAACATCATGAACACGACCCGCAGCCAATCCATTCGACCACTCATTTAATGAAACCATAGAGCTCTTAGAGTCCGACAGTGCATCTTGCCATGCTGTCCCAGAATTCTCATCCCACAAATTTGTCCGTAAATCAAACGGCAACGAGTCTATAAACGGTGTCCGAACTGTATAGTTCCTCGTATACAATGAGTAAGCACTGTGTAGCATGAAGCAGACAATAATCGTCCGTCGAACACTCTCAGCAAGGAGCCAAGCACATCGAGGACTAAGGGTTTGCGGAAGTTGAATAGGTGCCTGTTGCCACAGTTTCCCACCGATTCCCGCCAGCATAACACTGATCGCTTCTGAATATGGACATGCATTGCCGTCTTCATTGAGAACTAACATACATTGGATCAATACCAAGGCTTGACTGCATGCCAATAGTTCTTCAAATGTCGCAGCGTGGCATAGTCGGCGACATAGGTCTGCTGAGTATTGCCGGAGCATTGACAACAGAGTAACGCTCACGCGACCCGTTTGCCCCGTTTGCATATTAAGTCTGCAGATATTGTGGACCTCACGAACAGGGGTTGGCAGACCATTTGGATAAAGATCAGGGTGAATGAAAAGTGTCTTCCTGGTTTCTGCAAAATTGGCCGGTAAATCCCGCAACCCGGAAACAAGAAATCGAATGATATTTGGATCATATTCTTTCGCAATTTCTAATTTCAGGGGCGCATGTATTCGGGGCGTGGGAGTCGCGTTCACAATTGAGCGATTAGGGCCCCGGCCAGAAGATGGCTTTCGAGTAGATTGTATTGTAAGAGGTGCATTCACATATTCACAGGTGATGTCTTTGCCCAGACACCTGCTGCATCGGGGCCAGCCTTGGTCACATCGCCGCTTGCCTTTGATGCAGGCTTGGCATGACCTGCGTAATGTCACTTGCTTTGAACGATCAACAGGCATTGCTCAGGTGGTGAGCTACAGGTATGCCGAGGTTAAAGATACAGTTTGCTGATCAATTCCGACTTTCCAAGAGCAATTCTGAGGTCTGACTGGTCCGCCACCGTTGAGATTAGTAATATCATCGTGCCGCACCTGGACAGGTTCATGTCAAACCAACATATGCTGTAGGGATACTTGCATGTCGCGTTCAACTATAATCATGCATGATGAAAAAAAAGATACTTTAGGAATGCCTGCTGACAACCAACTAATAATATTTGCCTGAATTCCAGGGCATCAACACCATTTTTTAAGCCTGTGAACGACAGCAGACTCGGCAGCTTTCCTATCCCGTGAACACGTCTGCGGCTGGGAAAACGACAGCGAACATACTCGCTTGTCCGGATCTAGAATTAGGGTTACCACTATCTCCCTTGGAGTTAGCAACAATGTTGACAATAACACTGCTTCGGGTGCCAGCCCCCAAATTACACCAATCGCATTGGTTCTCTGAGCCGGAACTAAGAACCACTTGACGGCATCAAAAAAAAAAAAAAGAAGAGACTACTCCGTAGAGGCTCCACCTCTCGACTTAGCGAACTGATAGAGGAAAAAAAGACCAATAAGCAGTTTTTATGGTCTAATAGTAGGTTTTAGTATGCTGGAGCCGTATGTTGTTGGTTCGTGTATTTCATATCAACGCCGGGATTAGCTCTGAAGGGATTAGTCTTGGGGGTCGTGCAGCTTATGGTTGGTTCATCCATGCCCAATTCGGACGTGACTATACACTGCCGAGAAGATAAGTCCCACCAATTTCTACTTGCAGCCCGTTTTGTTCTACGGAAATACGTGGCACCCCTTGCTTTTGAGGTAGAGCCTAGTGCTTATGGGTTATATCAAGCTGAGTATTTATCACGAGAGCCTAGATGTCTTTTATCTTACTTTCTGTGTGCCCCTCGAAACATACGTCTAGCACCCAGAACGAGAAACAATGTCAAACTTCACAGAGAGGACGGACAATTATCCGAATCTGAGTCGTCCGCTCGGATCAATGAGATCAGAGTATGATGTCGTGATTATAGGATCTGGCTATGGCGCTGGAGTAGCGGCAAGTCGAATGGCTCGAGCAGGGAAGAGCGTCGCAGTGCTAGAACTTGGCTGGGAAAGAAGATGTATGGATCGAGAGGCTTCAATCAAAACACCATCACTAACATTCCCATAGCTGGTTCATTTCCACTTACGTTCTCTCAATGTCTGAAAGATATGAGCATCTCGGGAAGTACTACAAAGAGCTCCTTCATCTCAAAGTGGCTATCGTCTGGAGACCCTACGCGGCTTTTCCAAGTATTTTTGGGTGATGGACAGCATTCTTTTGCAGCTCATGGTAGGTGAAACTCATGCCCCCAGGATTCATGAAAAACAAAATCCAACAGCTTTTTTTTTGGCTTGGAATCATAGGCCTTGGAGGCTCTTCATTGATCAATGCCGGAGTTTTCCTAAAAGCGGATGAAAGAACACTTCAGATGAGCCCATGGCCATCGGAGATCAGGGACGATCCATCTACGCTCGATGAATGTGAGTTATCCATGGATATGGAGAATATCTCACGACCTATAACTAAATGCAGACTACACACGTGCTGAAACAATGCTGCAACCGTCCACATATCCGGATAATTCAACCCCAAGTAAACTCGAGCATCTTCGAGAAGAGTCGAGATGGCTTGGAGAGAAGAATAATTTCTACCGAGTACCGCTGACCATCTTTTTCCATAATGGCCGCAACAGGGCAGGTGTCCCTATGCAGGCAAATAGACAATCAGGCCATGAGTGCACTGGTCTTAATGACGGTTCGAAAAACTCAGTGGCAACAACTTATCTTGCAGATGCCTGGAATTGGGGAGCTGAGATATTCTGCGGATGTGAAGTTCAATTTGTAGAGAAGACGGACGGAGGAGGCTACACTATACACTTTGCCTGGCATGGCAGTGGGAGGTCGGTGTTTTCGGATCATTTCAAGGAACAACTCTTTTGGGTCAAAGCAGTAAGTACTGAATACACCTTCAGAACTAAGCATCTCAACTCACTCTATCTGCTTCAATTGCAGAAGGAATTCTGTTTTCTTGGGGCCGGTGCTTTAGGAACTACTGAAGTCTTGCTTCGGTCGAAGCAGCGCGGCCTCCATATGTCACCGCTTGTTGGAAGAAACCTCTCTGGGAATGGCGATCTTTTGATATTTGGTATGTTCTTTCCTATAATATAAATCTAGGCACATTTGACTTACAGATTCAAGGTTACAATGGTGGTGCCAATATCAACGGGATCGCCCGTGACTCTTCGCGGGCCCCCCCTGGAACAACCGTCACTGCTGTTATTGATAATCGAGTCGTGGATCCACTGAAAAATCCCCTGTCTGGATACGTTGTCCAAGATGGGTGTATTCCTGAGATGTTCAACCCAGTAATCCAAGTCA